GCTGTAATTCTGGCTGCAGGAAGATCAGCCATCCTCCTCTCAGAGGCCTCTTCTCTCTGACCCTGGGAGGCCTGGCCAGTTCCTGGGTTGTGGGTTTGGGAAAGGCCTCCCTTCTCCTGCCAGGAGCTCCCTGACCTTGACTTGCAGGTAGGGCTGGGGAGATGTGTCCAGCTCAGGGCGGAGTCCCCAGCATGTACCTCTGGGAGCTGTGAGCTCCTGTTGTTACTCAGCCCCATCTGATCAAGTAGAGTGCCCGCTTCCAAGACAGAGCGGGGCGGGGGGGGGGTCCAAGGTCAGGGACGGGAGAAGATTCTGGGCCCTCTGAGCACACAGGTAGCTGAGCCTCAGCGGGAAAGGCAAAGATGCCCTGGCCTCAACGGCTCCCGTGTGCACCAGGAGCTGGACCTCAGCACAGCAGGAAGATGGCATGGGACAGGGCCCGGAGGACCCCCTCTCAGTGACCCCCAACAGGCTTTGTTCCCATATCCTCTGGCTTAGCCTGAAGGGGCTAAGAGCCTGAGGGCATCTGTCTACCACCTCATTCCTGTGCCAGCTGGGGCTCGGGGCTGGACCCCATGAAGTGTCCCATGTCACTGAGCACCAGGAGGCCAGAGGGCCAGGGCAGTGGGGGACAGAGGCAGGAAGTGGCAGAGTCACACCAGACTCAGAGCTGCAGGGTCCCCCAGTCTAAACTGCCTTGGATGTGGGTCGTGGGGTGGGTGCCACTGTGGGCTGCGTAGGTAAGCACCATTGCTGACTGGGCCGTGACTCTCTCCTCGGAGTGCCCTCACCAGACACTGCCCTTTCCTCAGGAATCTGGGCTTCCCGAGGAGGAGCTGGCATTTACAACCTACCCAGTGCTGCGTTCTCTCCTGGGGCCTCCAGCACTGGTGCTTGGGTCAACTCCTCCGTCCTGGACAAAAACTTCCTTGTGGGGAGGGGGCCTGAGCCTGCTGCCTTCCTGGTCAAGCCGGGGCACTGCACGTCTGGGTCACTGACTCTGGGAAGGGCTGCAGCTCTGCTGAGTGGCCCCTCACGTTTGTATGCCCCCAGGGTCTCTGGAATGTGCTGGATACCTGGGCCGAGCCTTTTAGGAGCAGGGCTAAGAGGGCCTGATCTCAGGCACACAGACTCGCTCTTCCTGGCTTTGAGGGATGTTTTAGAGTGTGAGGAGCTGGCCTCTCTGTACAGCGTGGAACCTGTGGAGCTGTCCCTGACCTGCCCTGATTTTTCGTCTGGACTCCACCTGGGCCTCCCCATGGGCTCTTCCATTAGCTATCCCTCTCCAGGGGCTCCCTGCCCCTTGGGCTCCTGGGGACCCTGGGCTCCCACCTGGCTCTGTTGCTGCCCTGTGATAGAGACTCCTTCAGTGCCTCTTCTGTACCTCTTCTGGCACCCAAGCCACAGGGGCTGACCTGGGACCCAGGAGACACCACCAGGCAAGCAGGATCACTCGCAGAAGTCACACAAGATGTCTGTGCATTTTTTAAAAGGCTCAGTGAATTGAATAAATTGGCTAATGAGCAAAGGAAATTAATTGCAGTTTTGAAATGTGACCATTCCTTTGCGTGTCCTGTCTGCCAGGCGGCCTTGCTGCAGCCTTTGCTGCCTGCTGCCACGCCTCCACCCAGGATCTGGGAAGTTCGGGGACGCTGTCTGGAGCTGTCCACTGACCATGGGTGGGAAGGGGTGTCCCCTGGCCAGTGCATCTGGCTGAGGGTCAGTCACGGGTGCGGGGGCGGCAGGCAGGGCCGTGCACTGTTGCTGGCCTCCTGGACTTGGGACCAGGTTCTTGGTGGTGGTGGCAGACCCTGTCCTGAACACCAGCGGGGGCCAGCTTTCGCTATGACCATGGACAAGGTCCCCAGAGCCTCATCGGAGAGAACTGAGGAGCTGGTCGAGGGTCAGTGCATTGCCTTTTGGATAAGGCTTGTCCTCTGCAGCCCTTGGGCTCTGGGCAGCTTCACACACTATGCCTGGATTTTTCCTGCACATGGCCTGGCCTGCTGGGATCTGCCTCTGAGCCTACACACCCCGTGCCACACCCTGGCCAGGGTGCGTTCCTGGCACATGGGCCAGGCAGGGCCCAGTGTCCTCGATGGCCTGCGACATCAGCCAGCCACGGTAGGCCACCCTACCTTTCTGCTCAATGCTGGCCAGGCAGTGAGCAAACTGGGTGGATGGAGACCCAGCCCGGAAACCTGTCTCCTCACTGCCCCCCGGGCTGGATATCGATGGGTGTTCTCTCCTGAGTGCTAAATGGGGGGGGGGGCAGGGCGGTGCTGGCTTGGTCCTGTCCAAGGCCCCTGCCTGTGATGGTCAGTTTCTGTGTCATCTGGGCCTTGGTGCCCCCTGGGTCCCACATCTGTGTAGGTGTTGCTGTGTTTTCAATAGTGGTGACATTTAGCAGACAGTCCTCCGTAAAGTCAGTCCATGGAGAGGAATGGACAGCAAGACATTCCAAAGGAGACCAGCACTTTATGTGGGCCTGTGAGATGGGTGAGGGACATGGCACAGGCACTGGGCCGCGTGGGTCCTGAGGGGCAGGCATTGTCTGCTGGGTTTAGGTGGCCACCAGTGACAGCACGGGATGGGCATGCACTGTGCCCGTCCTGTGTGTCAGGCACCACCCCAGTGATCTCCTGAATCACTGGCACTCCTGTCTTGGTTTAGGGATACGGAGGCTGGGTGTGGGAGCCCAGGGTGGGGTGCTGCCTCACAAGAGCCTCCTCATGGGCAAGGGGGACCGGCCTTGGAGTCCCAGGGTGAAACTGGCATCTCCCAGACTCATGCTGATGCTGGTCCCCTGTGAGGAGCTGGCCAGGGACTGTGTGGGGCTGGAGGTGAACCCAGGGCCTCCACGATACTGGTGCTTACCACTGAGCTGCACTCCCAGCCCTAAGGGCTCTCGTACAGGAACACAGAGGCTCTGGAGGTGGGTGGTCTTCCACCAGCCAGCACCACAGACCAAGGATCAGCTTCTCCCTTTTGACCCAAGGGTGCTTATGCCACATTCGGCGTGGCTTGTCTGCACCGGGAGGAGCCAGGGCCAGCAGAGGAAGTGACCACAGTAGCGTGGTGGTGAGTCAGAGCCCTCAGAGCAGGGCCCACCCCTGTCATTTAGCAGATTACAGCCTGCTGAGGTCAGGGCTCTTTTGTTCACCAAGGACAGGAAACAAATCTGAAGTGTTTAAGAAATGGGCTTTTGTCACCTGGCAGTCCATGGGGCTCCAGGTGCTCCATTTTTGTGTCTTTTCGCTTCTTTTCCTCCCCTTCACTGCTGTCTCCTCCTTGTATCTGGCCAGAGAGGCCCTGACCCTGACAGTTGCACACCCTGGTTGGCTGGGCCTTGTGCCCTTCCCTTCTGGAAAGGGCAGTGAGGGATGAGGGTGGGTTCCTCATTGGCGCTAGGGTGGGCAGCACACATAGCCTACTTGGTGTCAGCAGTGTGGTGACAAGCCGTCTGGGTGGGGGACTCCCCAGGACCGGGAGTGGCAGTGGGTGTCTGAGGGGGTCCCTCAGGCCAGCCAGTAAAGAGGAGCAGGGGATGGGGCTGGGGTGCAGGGGACCTGGAAGGAGAGTTCACGTGGAGGGCACCTGACCCCCAGGACGGTGTTGGGTGGGCTCATGAGGTGGGTGCCTGTGGCGGCAGAGGCAGGGTTTGTGGGTGGGCACGAGAGTCCCAGGCTGGACGGAGTAGCTCAGCGGGGTGGACACAGGCCAGCTGGGCATAGTGAGGCAGCTAGCACTTTGCTTGGGGTCCCCTGACGCAGCTCTTGGCTCTTCTGGGTCACTGTCTGAATGGGAGGCCCCCAGAGCCCATCACTCATTGGCTGACGAAGGTGTCCCTTCCCTGAAGGCCGTGGCTGGACAATTTAAGAAAGCACGTGAGCCTGGAACCACTGCCTTCTAAGCAGCCCCTGCTGATGGTCCCTCCCACACCTACAGCCGCGCCGCCACCCAGGGCTCCAGGACAGGAGTGTGTGAGGCAGCCAGAGACCCCATGTGTGACTCCTTTGGTCGCACTTTATCAGGGCCACTCAGGTGCCCTTGCCAGGGCCCGTGCGGCATCCGGCCTCTGTCTCAGCCTGTAGGGGGAGCCCGTGCGAGGTCAGATCCGAAAATCTCGGACCAGAATGCAGAGGGAGGCAGAGAACAGGTGCAGGAGGGAGGGAGCCACCCTGGGTGGTCAGGAAGGCCCACATGGGCCTGGACCATCGAGGGTGGCTCTTCGGTGACACAGTCGTTGGGCCTGCACCTGGCACCAAAGCGTGAGATGTATTCTTGTTTCCACAGTAGGAACTGAGTTAATCATGTTGTTGTCCACATCCGCCTCTGTCAGAGGAAGTTGTGCCGCCAGGAAAGGGCACAGAGCACGTGAGAGGGTTTTGTTGATCAGGAAGGGTCAGGTGCTAAGTGGCAGGGGAAGGGTAAAGGTATTAATTACACTGGAAAACCTGGGGTGTTGAGGACGAGACCCTGAACTTACCAGCAAGGAAAAATGGAACCACTTTGAGCTTCCTGGCAGACAGGGCAAAGTTAGAGAGGAGACAATCTTGAGAAATTCTTGTTGAGCATAGAATTTCATTAGAAACGTGTTGTGCTTCTGAAAAGCTTCGAGAGGAGATGGCCGGAAAAGGACGGACGCGTTTTCAGGGCCTTCCAGACGCAGCCCTGCAGATTGGCTCCTTTCCTTGCTTTGTCTGTAGGCAGACGCTGCAGTTCCCTTTTACTCCGCATGCCTTTCCCAGTACACGAGGGTATGGGCGGGGCGGGGGGCAAAGTCGTGCTTGGGCTGTTTGGAGAGAAGCTTTCGAGACGTAGTGACCCGGTCATCCCAGGGGTGATGCCTGGAGGTCCTGGGGCCTCGGCAGCACGGATCGCATCCCCTCTGCACTGCCCACCGGGGCCTCTGGTCCACGCTGCTTGTCACTGTGGTGGGGTGGGAGCAGTGTCCTGTGTGCCTGGCTGCTGACCGCGTCTCCACCGCTGCCCTCTAGGTTCCTGCTGGTCTTCTCCTGCCTTGTGCTGTCTGTGTTTTCCACCATCAAGGAGTACGAGAAGAGCTCGGAGGGCGCCCTCTACATCCTGGTGAGCCTGGCGCGCTGGCAGACAGGCAGGCAGGCAGGCGGGTGGTGGAGGGCCAGGACTGCCGGGCCCCACTGGTTTCCACCCTCTCTGGCCCTGGGATGGTGGAGCACCTGCAGGGCACTCTTCCCGCACCTCCCAATCACTGGAGCCTGAGGACCCTGGTGGTGCCTCCCCCACAGGGCTGCGGGGTGTCCCTGGCGGAACAGCATGGGTGCGCGGGCGGCTGAGGGGCCGTGACAGTCACAGCAGCCCTGCAGCGGGGCAGGGGTGGGTGCCATGGCAACAGGAGTGTCATTTCTGTGGTACGGTTGGTAATGGGGAGGACCGGAATGTACCACCCCCACTCGGTCCCTCCCTGCCTGAGCTCTGGGTAGAAGGTGGGCTCCCTGTCCGACCCTGAGGCACGCTGGATGTGGCTCTCTGCCCCAATTTGGATAGGGGACTCCTACCTTCTCGGATGGGGAGATGGAGACAACGGCCCCATTGTGGTTCCGGGCCCAGACAACTTGTGGCTGCAGGGGCCCTGGAAGGTCCAGATGTGTGTCCCAAGGGGCTGGAGTTCTGCTGCTTGGCTAGGTCGAGGTGGGACACTGTGGCTGTCAGGCTAAGCTTGCAGTCCCCAAGGGGCTTCAGGGCACCTGTGGCGGTCCAGTGGTCCACACCCCCCCACCCCCAAGCCTTATGGTGGCCTCCTCTGTAGGAAATTGTGACCATCGTGGTGTTTGGTGTGGAGTACTTTGTCCGGATCTGGGCTGCAGGCTGCTGCTGCCGGTACCGTGGCTGGCGAGGGCGGCTGAAGTTTGCCCGGAAGCCGTTCTGTGTGATTGGTGAGGCTAATGGGAATTGGCAGAGTGGGTAGGGGCAGGGCCACAGAGCAGGGCAGGGGCAGGGCAGCAGAGCAGGGCAGGGGCTGTGGAGTGGGCAGGGGTGGGGGCAGGGGCAGTGGAGCAGGGCAGGGGCGGGGGCAGTGGAGACAGCAGGATAGGGCGGCCAGGAGAAGCTGGTGCTGGCTTTGTTGGCCATGCAGGCTGAGCCAGATGCGGGCCGTGTCCTTCTGGAAGTTTCTGCTCACCTCTTTCTCAGGTGGCAGCCATGGTCAGTGTGGCCCAGATGGGAGGAGGTGCGGGTCAGACTGGGCAGTGGCTTCTTTTCCCCCTGGGTGCTTTGCAGGCACTCAGGGCCTCCTGTCCATCCTTGGGGTGGCGGTAGGGAGGGGTGTCCAGTCCCGCCCTGCAGCCCAGGATGGGTGGCCTGAGCTCTGGCTGCCTCCCGCAGACATCATGGTGCTTATCGCCTCCATCGCCGTCCTGGCCGCTGGCTCCCAAGGCAACGTTTTCGCCACGTCCGCTCTCCGCAGCTTGCGGTTCTTGCAGATACTGCGGATGATCCGCATGGATCGGAGAGGAGGCACATGGAAGCTGCTGGGCTCTGTGGTCTATGCCCACAGCAAGGTGAGCAGGCCCGGGCAGCAAGGCTCCTGCCCAGTTCTGAGGGTGCTATTTGCCTGGCTCCCTGCTGCCCGAGCTCCTTTGCATATCCTGGCTGGGGGGGCAGGGGCAGGACTGAGAAGCCCAGACTGAGTCTGTGGAGTTGAGTGGGCATCATGCCTTTCTTCCTGGGTTTCTTTGTGACTCGACCCATCTTTGCCGTCTGTCCCTGGAAAGCTTTTCTGCAGTGGAGCAGGTTTGCTCTGTGGTTGGGTGTCTCCTTTCCTGGTTTTGAGGGCCTGGATCAATATACTGCCCGAATCACCTGCCCGGATGTTGTTCAAGCTGTGGCTATGGCAGCTGGGTCTGGGGTACCCATGGGGTGGCCATGGCTGTGTACACTCTGTGTCCCAGAGGTCCTAGGCCCCCTAGGGCCATGACTCAGTTGCGCCAGGCTGGGTGGTGAAGGTGGTTTGTGTGTGAGTGACTCATTTGCCCGAATGACCTCCTTCCTGTTTTCTGACCTGCTGAGACCCTGAGGGGTTTCCGCCATGATGGCTTTGGGGCAGGATTGGGACCTCCTGGTTGCAGCTCCCCCGTCCCTCCCTGGATGCTGGAGGTACTGGTGTGCCAAGGCCAGATCTCTTTCTGGAGCTACCTCCCCAGGGTCCCATTTCCTTTATCCTCAGGGCTGCTGGTTGCTGGGCCAATACTCCTGAGACCTGGGTATGTGTAGGCATGCTGAGCTGGTGGTCAGTGGCCACCCTGGTCTCAGGTCTGCTGTGCACAGGGGTGGGCCTCTGTGGCCGGACCTCAGTGCAGCAGCTGTCCCTCCCTGCCCTGTGGTGTGAGTCTTCCCAATGAGTGCACGCAGGGCTGAGCTTCTGCTGGCCTCAGAAGGGAAGCTCTGGTCCCAAGGCCCCAGAGATGCAGGGCCCTGGGACTGGACACTGTCCAGCTGGCTCTGAGTATGGCAGTGACGTGGTCCATCTGCCTTGCAGGAGCTGGTCACTGCCTGGTACATTGGCTTCCTCTGCCTCATTCTGGCCTCGTTTCTGGTGTACTTGGCAGAGAAAGGAGAGAACGACCACTTCGACACCTACGCAGATGCACTCTGGTGGGGCCTGGTGAGTCCTAGTCACGGGGTGACGATTGCTTCCCTGAGGATGCCAGCTTTTCTCTCTGCTTCCTCATCCTGCCCAAGGTCCTGAGCCCCTCTGGGCCTGCGGGGAAGGCCCAGCTGCTTCTTCCGGTTTAGCTGGATGGACATGTCTTTTGGCAGCCACCTGCTGGCTGCCCATGGTCATGACAGCATGTGGAGGTGGCTGCTGAGGCTGGTCGGACCCTGGGTGTGCCTGTGGGGCTAGAGGAGGACGGTGAGGCTCCTGCCTCCCCAGTGACCACCCCTCTCTCCAAGTCATGTTCACCTGGCATTGTGAGAAGGGAAGACAAGAGGCAGGGTCCCCAAGAGCAGTAGCAGGGGGACTTGTCAGGGGTTCCTGGTTCAGGGGGTCTGACCCCCATGACCTTGCACCTGTGCACATATGGAGGAGCAGCTGGGGACTTGGCTCTCTGTCCCCGGGACAAGCTGCCACCCCTGGGGTCACCTGTTTCTGGACCAGCACCCTGTTTGCATTTCCTGTGGCGGGGGCTGGGGGAGTACAAAGGGACACTGCCTGTGGCCTACCTGGGGACCTGGAGCCCAGAATGATGGCCCTGCCCACAGCTGCCCCCTTGGTCCTCTGCTGCCCAATACCTGAGCTGCCCTGGCCTTGCACCCGAGGTTCCCCGTGCCTGGCTCTGCCTGGCCTCCTTGAAGGTCCCTCTCTTGTGGCCTGTACCCTTGGTGAACAGTTTGGAGGACCCCACTCCTGCTGGGGCGGGGGTGGGTGTCACATCCCTGATATCCTGTGTGCTCAGATGTCTGGAGACCAGGCTGGGCCCTGAGGCCCACAGATCATCCCCTGGCTCCTCCTCAATTCCCTGGGTACTCATGCAGGCAGGTGTGTGGTGCAGGCTGTTCCCTTGGGAGTCCCTGAACACCTGGCTATGTGGCCTTAGTTGTCAGGAAAAGGGACAGGCTCCTCTCTCAGGAGAGAAACCCCACTTCTCTAGGATGGAGACAGAGGTCAGATGGGTACCAGTGGTTTCATCTGTGGCTATGAGGCCTGGAATTCTGTATCCTCTGCCCCTACCAGGATGGTCAGGAGTGAAGCAGGACAGGGTGGGCAGTGTTGAGTGTGTGTGGAGTTCAGGTCGGGGCAGAGCTACCTGGACCTCTGACTGTCCACAGGTATCCAGGCTCGGCCAGAGGGCTGGCTCAGCACAGGTGTCCTGAGCTGTGACCAGCTGGCCCTGCTTGGGGAAGTGGCCTGTCCTCCCCCCAGCTTTCAAAAGCTACACATTTTAAACTGGCAGTTCCCCAAGTCCAGCCCCTGGTCCTCCCCTCTGGTTCCCTCCTGACTGACGCCGTGCCTTTCCCGTACCCACTCCCTACTCCCTGATGGCTGGTTCAGGCCAGGGACAGAGTGAGGCCCCCTCGGCCTTTTTCCTGCTTCACAGCCCCAACCTGCTCTTACCCGCCCCCTCCCCCAGCCTCACCTTGAGAGCAGGGCCGGTGGCCACTGAGAAATGCTTCCACAGGCCTTGGGTGTACACTGTCCACTGTCTGCCCAGCTGCCATCTACCTGTTTTCCTGGCCTTTCCTGCACCCACTCTGCTTGAGGGGGGGTCTCTGGTCTCCACCCACCCCGTAGTCCTGGCCTGAGCCTGTTACCTGTGGCCAGGAGGTAGCCGTCCACTGTCCTTGTTCGCTGTCCAGCTCCTGTCCCCCTCCCCCCGGTGCAGGGCACCCCTGTCAGTGCACACACAGCAGGCCTTGTGCCAGGTGCCCACAATCCCCCCAAGATGGGCAGTCTTTCCCTCTGCCCAAGACTTTATGCCCCACAGCTTGATCCAGTCGCTTGTCCTGGGCTTCTGGTAGGAGGCCTGTCTGGTCTTGGTCAGCCAGGGCTGTAGGGACCTTTGTGCCCCTTCTACATCATTGTCAAGTTTGCTGACACATCCCTCCACCCGCCCTTTGTATGCCCAGGTACTTGGTCAGGGTGCTGCTGTGGCCCTTGGGCACGGAGGGTGGCTTGTCCTGGCTCTGCCCTTCCCTGGCCTCCCCTGCAGGACCCTTCCTCCAGACCTCACCTGTCCCACCCCTGCCAACCTCTTCCTCCAGTCCCTGCCCCTGAGGCACCTCCTGCAGGGTTCCTGACATCGGAGACTCCCTGCCATGACCACGCCCCTTTATGACTCCGCCCCTCATGGTCCCGCCCACTGCCGCTGCTTCTCTTTTGACTGATGGGTCCCAGTGTACTGCACTCCTCCAGGGATGTGGGGTGGTGAGAGTTCTCTCCTTGCTCCTGCACAGTAGCTGTGGGGTTTGCCTTTGGGTGTGAAACGTGATCCAAGCCTCAGTGACCTCCTCCCCACCTGTGTGGAGAGGAGATTTGTTGGGGCTTTGGTGGGCCTGTGTGGCGAAGAGTAGTGATGCTGACTCTGACCTCCCTCAGCCCACCAGGAGCATTCCGGCCTCTGCGTGGCCGAGGCCTAGTGGCTGGCCCATCCGTCTGCCCTCAGGGGTGTTAAAAGAGCCCCTCCAGGAGCCTGCAGGGCTGGCCAGGAGGATCTGGCTCAAGGCTGTGGACCTCCATCCAGCCACTGCAGTCTGGCTAAGCGGCCTGCCACTGTCCCGCAGATCACCCTGACCACCATTGGCTACGGGGACAAGTACCCCCAGACCTGGAACGGGAGGCTCCTGGCAGCAACCTTCACCCTCATCGGAGTCTCCTTCTTCGCTCTTCCTGCGGTATGCCCTGGGCCACCTCCCTGCTTGAGGGGACAGGGTCTCTCCAGCTGTCCTCGGGACCTTCTGCCCTTGGAACAACCCAGGACAGGAGTAGGGTCACTGCAGATCCACGGTCCTGGGGAAGGCCCTTTCACTGGACCAGACTGGGGCGCCTGGCCTGGAAGCCTGTGACCCTGAGCTGCAGCTTCTCCACCAGGTCCCAGGCTGTGGCTTCTCCCCAGCTGTCCTGGTCCCTTGGTTCCTCCTGTCAGCTGACCCTGAGCAACGGGGTCCTCCTGACCAAGAGCAGTGCTGTGATGACCCAGTACCTCATCCAGGGCTCTGCAAGACCAGAGATTCGTCCCAGGCAGAAGAGGATGGGGCTGTGCTGATCCTTAGCTGTCAGCAGAGGCAGAGGGTGGCTTGAGTGGGCATGGCAGGGACAGATCGGGAAGTAGGGCTCCCCTTTGGGTTCACTGGGGGTACTGCCATGCCTCCTGCAAGCCAGAGGCGTCTGTGATCCCAGATCCAAGGGTGTCCCTTAGACTCTCTGGTGATGAGGGATTGAAGAGGTGGAACGGTGCCTGAGATATGCGGGCGAGGGGGGCAGGGTGAGGGTCATGGGCTGGCCCTGATGGGATGGGGGCAGTGGGTCTCTGTGCATGGTCTGACCTCAGCGACTTGCAGGGCATTTTGGGGTCTGGTTTTGCCCTGAAAGTCCAAGAGCAGCATCGGCAGAAGCACTTTGAGAAAAGGCGGAACCCAGCAGCGGGCCTGATCCAGGTCAGTCCCGAAGGCCCTGGGGGAGCAGGGGCGCCCCGTTCCAGCCCAGCCCGTCTCAGAGTGGCGCCTGCTTGGCTTTGGCCTGAGGAAGCCTCTCCCTGTGGTTGGGCTCCTGGCTTTTGTCCCTCTGCAGGCTCACCCGGGGGAGCAAGGACTTCTCAGTCAGTGTCATTTCTGACACCCGACACTGCACAGCAGCTGGGCGGGCCTCCTCCTGTCCGGTCCCTGGCACACTGGCGTCTGGGAGGCAGGTGTTCTGGAAGGTCCTCACCTAGGCAGTGAGTTGTGCCCAAGCTGAGGACCCTGCATCCTGCCAGAGCAAGGCCAGTGGCGAGTGCACTGTGGGCACCTGAACATGTGCGCAGAAAGTGGATTCCTCCAAGCCTCGAGCTGCTAGGGGAGATGGCCCCCTGGAGCCGGCCCCTCCTCTCCTGCCATTTTGCATTTTACTTTATTTTGTTTATTTATTAATTTTGAGACAGGGTCTCATTGTGTAGGTCAGGCTGGCTTCCTCCTGCCTCAGCTTCCCAAGTGCTCGGGTAATAGGCATGTACCACACCTGGCTGTCCTGTCTTTTTAAAGATGTAACTCTCATGGTCTTGGCCATTGGTCTAGCTGCTTTGCGTGTGTGTGCGTGTGTGTGTGTGTGTGTGTGTGTGCACTTACCTTTTACCGTAAAAACTGCAAGCAATTATTTTTTGTAATAGTAAGAGTAGGGAGGAGGAGGAGGGGGAGGGGGAGAGGGAGGGGGGAGGAGGAGGGGGAGGAGGTGGTTCCACAATCTCAGTCGACTATGACAATTGCAAGAGTGACCCCTGTACATGCGCTAAAAGGGTTAAACCAAGTGGGGAAGAGCAGCAGTGCCTGCTCCCCGTCCTCATCCTTGATAGTGGCCTTGTAGCCTGTCTGAGAAGCAGCTCCCCTCTGCCTGTCTGCCCATGGGTGTCTGGGAAGCCCTGCCGTGCTAGGACACAGGCAGCATCTCCCACTCGGCTTTGAGACGTCTGTGGCCTGCGTCTGATGAGCAGTGGCTGTTGGGTCTGCAGCAGACAGGCTGAGGAGAGGCTCCCTCCGCAGAGGGGAGCTGATCTGCCCAGTGCAGGAGCCAGAGTTGCAGCTGGCAGTGACCCTGGCAGCCCTACTGGCACATGAAGGGTGGCGGAAGCACTGTTTCCTCCCCCTTCTCCCCTGCTTCTGTTTGTCTCTCTCTGTCTGAGGCTCTGCTCTCTCTGAGGTGGCCTAGGCTGGCTTTGAACTTGCAGCGGTCTTCCTGCCTCAGCCTCTTGAGTGCTGGTACTGCTTTCTGAGAGGTCCACAGCCGTGGAGTGGTTCTGGCTTCCAGAAAAGAGGAGACCTGGGGGGAAGCCAGGGGATACCAGGCCCCAGAGGGGATACATCTGAAGACTTGATCTGATTCGTGCAGCCTTAACGAAAACTGATCTGCAGATTCATTACCAACTGTATCATAAGCCCAGTGCCCTTTTTCAAAAACTGAAATGGAAAAACTGATTGTAAGATTTATATCAGATTGCAGTGGACTCTGAATAACCGAAACAATCTTGAAACAGAAGAACAAAGTGGGAGCACTCACTCTTACTGATTGCAAACTCAGTACAAAGGAGCACTCATCAAAACAGTGGCTTTTACATAAGGGTGGACATAAGGACCCATGGCATGGAAACTCCACTCGTGTGTCTGTAGTGAAGTGGATTTTTGATAAATTGTACAACTGGATACCTGTGTTGAAAAGAATGAAGTGTGAGCCCTTACCTCAGACCATATACAAAAATTAACTAAAAAGGGACAAAGAGTCTAATAAAAGTTAAAACTACAAAAATTCTGTAGAAAAAAATAAGCTGCATGATCTTCACACTCAAAGTACAAGCCATAAGATAAAAACTGAATTATCAACAAGATTAAAAACCTGTGTATCAAGTTTTTACTTTGAAGAGAGTGAAAAGACAAACTATGAATGCAGAAGATACTGGAATCAGATGTGATAAGAGTTTTTATCCAGGATAAAAGAATAACTCACACTTCAACAGAAACAAAAATCCTGAAGGATTATTGGGCGAAGCAGTTGCTGTCTGTCCCGGAGGCCAGTCGGCTTAGGGAACCCTGCTCTCGTGCTCCATGTAGGTGATTAAGGAAATGCAAGTCGCCGGTGTGAGGCGACGCCCTGCACGTCTCCCCGGTGCTACTCGTGTTTTGAGATGGGAAACACATGTTGGTGGGGGTATGAAGCGCTCCCTCATTTGCTGCCAGCAGGACGTGAAACAGTGCAGCCTCTCTGGAGCTGCCCGAATGTTCCTCGGAGAGCTGGACCTGAGTCATCGCCTTGCCCAACAATTCCACTTCTGCGTGTAGACCCCAAACGTGAGAAGAGGGCCCACCCGAAGGCTCACGCTCAGAGGACCGCAGCCACACTGGTGATGTCGGCCAAGAAGTAGATGTGACTCAGTGTCCATCAGTGGGCGTGCAGGTAATCAGAATAGGACGAATTGGGACCGTGGGGCACCATTCAGTTATAAACGGGGTGATCAAAGCTGGATACGTGCCCCGGCTGGGGTGAACTCAGCTGGAGGAGCCTGCGGGGAAAGACCACACGTGATCCTGCTGATGGGAAGATCCGAAGAAGGAGATCCTGGAGACCACCCCACATTGTGGTGGCCAAGGTCTGGGGAAGGAGAGAGAGGGACTGATGACTGAATGTGCTGACAGGGTTCTCTTGGGAGTGGTGAGGTCATGGAATTAGCTGGGCACAGTGGTGCATACCCATAATGCCCACTACTCTGGAGACTGAGGCAGGAGGATAACAAGGTGGAGTGCAGCCTGGGAGACTTAGCGAGACTTTGTCTCAAAAAATGTTTTGAAAAAGGACTGAGGATGTAGGTTAGTGCAGAGGTCTTGGGTTCAATCCCTAGTGGTTAAAAAAAAAGTGGAATCAGCTGGCATGGCTTACACTTGGTCTCTGCTAATTGGGAAACTGAAATAGGAGGGTTGCACGTTCCAGGTCAGTTTAGGAACTTAGTGAAACCTGGCTCAGGAAATGATGAAGAACAAGAAGGGTTGGGGGCAGCTCAGTGGTCAGCGCTGAGTTCAGATCCCTGTACCACAGAACAAGATGAATGTTGTGGTCAGGGGTTGCAAGAACAATTACACACAAGACACGGGCTTCATAGCATTATTTTATGACGCTCGCTTGGTTAACTACAAGAGTGCAGGAAACCTGTCCACAACACTAAAGACCTAGGAAATGTGGCTGAGGGCCTGACTCCTACAGCAGGGTCCCGAATGAGTCCAGCTGAAGATGTAGAGTCCATGTTAATGACGCATGCAAGTCTGTTTCGTGGATCTGCTCTGGGAAGGCCCAGAGGTCCGCAGTGGAAGCTGGAAAGTGTGCCAGCGGGGTGAAGGAGCTGTGCCAGCAGGCTGAGGGTTCTGACTGGAGCCTAGAAGTGACTCTCAAAATAAGAACCAGGGCTGCTTTGAAAAGTACTGCAGTCATCCTTAGTGACAATGGGGTCCTGAGCTCCTCCGATGATGAAAACAATTGAGTACCTATCAAGAAGCCATTGTGACAAACCTGGAGATTAAACAGCACACATCTTCCCCTCCGGAGTGAGGAAGTGATGCTCAAAGTGAGGACCAGAGCCCCCGCAAAGTGAACCGCAGCCTCGCTCAGACACAAGGTCTGAGCTTCTCCAGTGGTAACAGCCAAATTCTATCGGGAGCCAGCATGACCAGCTCTCCAGGAGAACCAGTGGCTCAAACAGCAACACTTAGAGAAACCCACAACGCCTTGCTCTTCTCCACATCTCTTTTTATGCTGGCAACTTTCCGCAGATGGGCTGTCCACACTCGTCACCATGCTGATTCAGTTCAGCTAATGTTACGTTGACCGCCAGGTTTTAATCTGTAAATGGAGTTAAACAGTGGTGGTGGTCACACTCAGTGGATGTGTAGTTTGCAGTGGCTGAAATGGCGATTTTATGTTATGTATATTTCATCACACACAAGGTATGGGGAACAGAAAGAAGTCCAGGCCACTGGACATCAGTCTAAATGACAGACTCAAGACACCCACTGCTGGCCTGGGGAAGAGTCCCTGGAGGGCTCCAGGCCTGGAGCAAGAGGATGAGACCCCACCTCACCCTCCCAGGCCGCACGGGACCTGGGTACACACCCTCTTAGAAGTGTGGAGGGCAGGGAGGTAACTGCAGGGCCCCCAGATCAGGTGCTGAGCGCCTGGCCAGCTTTGGGGTGTGGTCCTGCTGCCCCTTCCCTGAGGGTAAACTGAGGCTGTGGTGTGGAAACAGCAGGGGTGAAGTTCTGTTGATGGCGGAGTGTCAAAGGGCGCCGCCTGCTGACCCCCCGCCTCTCCTCTGCAGTCCGCCTGGAGATTCTACGCCACCAACCTGTCGCGCACGGACCTGCACTCCACCTGGCAGTACTATGAGCGCACGGTCACGGTGCCCATGTACAGGTACCGCCGCGCCCAGCCCGCCGCCCGCCCAGCACATCGATTCTCTGTTGTTAATTTCCATTTGTTCTTGAACCCCTTTTCTGTTGTTCATTAGTTTTGGTTCACTGAGTTTTGTTTCTCTTTTTCTTTAAAGTGTATTTTTCAAAAACATTTTGTGTGTGATTTATTTTCCAGTATTAATTTTGTCCTTTGTTTGGTAGTGTCGCGGCTTTGGTTTTTCACCTCCATCCCGCCCTTGCTTCCTGTCCTTAACTGGGTGTGTTGTGTGGAGAACCCCCCACCCCCATAGGCCAGTGCCTTGCAGAGCTGCTCCCGCCCCAGGCCTCTGCCCGCCTGGCTTCTGGCTCTCAAGGGGAGTGGGGAGCTCTGCCCAGCGAGGGCTGGGGCCAGGTGTGGGGGAAGGAAAGTGACCCCGACCCCAGCAAGGCAGTGCCCGCCCCAGCAAGACCAAGTGCAGGACCAACCCAGTGCTGGCCCGGAAGTTCTCCAGCAGTCGGGAAGGTAGCGCGGGGTGCCCCGGGGTCAGTGGGCAGAGGGCCTGGCAGCCGCTCGCTCAGGTGTACGGATGAAGGCTGAGGTGGGAGGGGCTGGGCCATCTACATGGTGGGATACTGCAGGCCCAGAGCCCTGCATGGCATCATGCTGCCAGCTGGCCCCGCACTCAGGTGGCCCAGGCCGAGCTGGGGTCTCCCCAACTTCCTGGCCTGACCCTGGGACCTCACTCTGGGCCTTCTGAGCTGCCAGTTGTCCGAGGCTCCTGACATCAGCAATGGTCCCGCAGGCCTGAGGCTTTTCCACCTGTGCTGCCTATAGGGTGTGAACTCGGGAAGCGGCTCCCCTCTGCCCCTGCCCTGGCACCTACCCACTGGCATCTCGGGGACGCCAAGTCCTGGGCTCGGCCGTCTGGTCCCTCTGGAAGCAGCGTTTAGTGTTGCCCTGTCACCATGCCCCTTGCCAAGTGGCTGGATAGGACTGAGCCTTGTGCTAATTTTCTTTGTTTTGTTGTTTTCCCCACTTCCCTTAACGATTTTCTTCATTTTGTTTTCCTTTTCCCGTTCTTTTAAAAATTTTGGTTCTTTCCCTTTGTGTGTGTGTGCGTGAAAACACTTGAAAGCTCACAAACTCAAACCTACGGGGCGTCCAGGTAGGAAATGCATGGGACAGAAAGCCGTGTGTGTGGTTCTCGTGCTGTCTAGTTGCCCCTGGGACGAGCTCTCTGAGCCTGCCCCCTGCTGGCCGCGGAGCCATCCCCTGCCCCAGCGTCCTCATCGTCAGACCTGTCATCTCTGCCCTTCCCCTGCCTGGAGCCCCTGCTGACTGTGTCCTCTCCCTGGACCCAGAGCTACCTTCCTTGCCCTGCTCTGTTCCCCACCTCCTCCTCAGCCACTGCTTCTGGTGCCGGGTCCATTTGTCCTCAGGTCATTTCTGTTCCTTGTCCTGCTTTGTGTTTTGTTCATAGCTGTAGTCCCCTACCCACCCCTGTCCGCCCCCAGCCTCCAGCCCTGTTTAGGAACAGTGGAGTGGGGTGTGGGGCTTAGGTAGCTCAGGGACCTGTGTCCCTGTCCAAGGACTCATCCCAGGCCAGCATCCACCAGCCAGTGCAGGTCAGCTCACACCTGTGAGGGGTCCTGTGGGGTCACCTGCCTCTGAGGTCCCTCTCCCCGTGCCCTCCTTTCTGTTGTCTTGTGACATGTGTCCAGGGCCCAGGGCAGAGACTGCATGTGGCCTCCCTGTTAGTGGTACCAGTGTGGCCATGGCTGCTGGCCCTTCCTCCCTGTGCATCTGGCTGCACGGAAAGTGGGGAACCAGGGTCTTTGCTTTTGTTGGGGCTGCAGAGCCCCTCAGAAACCTTGCAGGGGCCCCTTCCCCACTTCCCCAGGAGTGCGTGGACCTGCGCAAGGCAGTAGATCATTCCAGCCCTGCCCAGTGATCCACAGCCCCTTCCAGCATGCAGTGCCCGCCCTGCCACAGTGTCAGGGTCCACCCTATGTGGGCAGGGCAGCTGTGTGGGACAGTGGCCAGTCAGGGGTAGGGTGTCTCTTATCCTACACACTCCCTGCAGGCCTCAGGTGTAAAGGTGGCCCTGGCACCCAGGTCCTTCTGGACCCCTGGGGATCCACAACACAACCAACTCCTTGACTCCAGCTGGTTGCCTCTGCCTATCTTCTTGAGCCAGTGCTACACCCAGAAGTAAGACACCCGAACATCTGCAGAGTACCCAGGTGGCAGGAGCTGTCCCCCAGAGCTGGTGGAACCCCCAAACCAGCCAGTTCTTCCTGGGGCCTCCCCCCACTCCCTTTCCCTTAGCATATTATTGCACCCCATTCTCTAATGGGCGGGTCCAGGCTGGGTGTGCAGCCCGCCCTGGCCTGCCCCATACCTGCCCTGATGCTGCTGTGTGTCCCAGGCATGCTGTCTCGTCTGGCTCTGAGGGCTGAAGTCTCCGTCTCTAACCCAGGCCTGTGTGTGTGTGGGCTGAGGGGGGAGCTGCCCCACCCTGGGGTCCCTGCTCTGGGCCCCAGGAGTGAGGGTTGAGGAAGGACAACTGTGACCCTGTGGGTATTGGGGTGGCCTGGGGGCTGTGCTGCACCCATGCTGACTAACCTGATGCTGGGCCCTGCTTAGTGCTGACAGCCTGGACAGGGCTGGGGCAGGGAGGGTGGGGGGAGCCCTTCCATCAGTGCTTCGGAGTCCCTGGAGCCTGGCTCTGTTGGGGGTGCAGAGTGAGTGAGGAGTCCCACTCTGAGCAGCTGAGCAGCTGCACCCATCGTAAACAGCTCACCTGCTCACGAGAGGCAGGAGCAGCATGGGCTGGAGGGGCGGCAGGGGCTGCGGGCAGCCTGTGTGGAGAGGAGCTTCCTGGGTAGTGAGAGCAGAGTACAGCTCCTAGGCCCAGTGGGCTCAGTGGTCCGTTTGTTCAGAGGCAGCCAGGAGCCACTGAGAGTGAACAGGAGCTTGGCAAGGGTGCTAGGCACATCCGGAGGATCAAGTAGGGTGGGGCTGGGCAGAGAGATGAGAGGGGCAATGCAGGTAGAGGGATAGGGGTCATAAGGAGTCAGGCTGGGCTAAAAGAACTGTCCTCGAGTCCCCAGGCATTAAAGACCCAGAGGGTGTGCTTGCAGCTGAGGCAGACAGGGCAGAGATGACCTGGGTGGGGCTTGTGGGCCTGGAGCATCCTAGGCTGTAGTCAGGAGTCAGGAGAGCTCAGGGGGCTCCCCTAGAGCCGGAGTGCACAGAGCAGGGTGGGGCGGGGTCAGGCCTGGAATGCATAGGCCTGGGGCCCCGAGCAGTTGAGGGGCCTCCTCCGTTCTCCATGGAGCACATTTCCCTGAAGCTGGACAGGGGCGGGGGGAGGCAGGCAGCAGCCAGAAGGGAGCAGAGGGTCATGGGCGAGAGGTTGTGGGGTCAGGGCGGGTAGGAGATGGAAGTTTTACCTTCCCTGGAGGCTGCTGGCCCACACTGCCCTTGGACCTGTGCATGGCCATGTGTCAGTGCAAATGGGACCAGGCACGAGGCTCCTGGGGCAGGTGAACAGGCCCAGGGGGTGGAAGCAGAGCCAGGCACTTGCTGAGGGTCCTTGGGGTGCGGGGGCCTGATGAGGCAAAGCCCTCTTGGGACCTCCCTCCCATCCCGTCCCACCCCAGCTTCGACAGGGAAGGTGGCTCTGCAGAGGGAGTTGGGAGTCTGGGCCCTGGTGTGTTGGGCGCAGTGTTTGCAGCTGTGCTGCCCTTGGGAGTGTTCAGGGGGAGGAGTATTGGGGAGGGGATCCCCACCTGGGCTCAGATCTCCTGGCCCCTCCACACTACAGGGGCGGCTCGCAGACAGCGTGGGCATGCTTCCTCAGCTATCTGTGCCAGTCACCCCCTGTCCAGGGCCTGCGGCCCTCAGAGCAGCCCAGAGAGTGGACATGGCCCCAGGGCCTGCGAGATGGGAGGACATCAAGACCAGGGCCCCAAGTGGGCCACTGCCACAGAGGGCAGGCTGATCCAGTCCTCCCCCAGGCGCCTGCCACTTTCCCTGAGTGAGGAGCGTGCTGGCACAGAGGCAGTACAGGGGCTCACTCACCTCTCCTTCTCTTGCCCAGACTCATCCCACCTCTCAACCAGCTGGAGCTGTTGAGGAACCTCAAGAGCAAGTCTGGACTCACCTTCAGGTCAGCTGTAGGGTAGCCAGGGCTGTAGCTTTGGGGACCCCAGCTACCTCAGCCAGGGACAGGAGGTCTTGGGTTTCAGGCCCCAAAGAGAGGCTGGGAACTCTGGGGAGCGCTGGGGACAGTCTTGGCCATGTTGTGTTTGCCCTTTCCTCTTTTGCTGACCCAGTTTAGGCTCCTGTTACCAAAGAGGTGGCAGGTCCCATGGGTGGGCACAACAGGAGGAAGAGGGTGAGGACGCTGCTGCTATGAGGCCAGCTGACCATGGCTGGAACCCTGGGGGACCCAGGTGGGAGGGAGGGTCCCAAGCCAGATCCTGCTTTAATTACAAGGTCGCAGAAGGTCCTGCTTTAATTACAAGGTCTACAATTGCCAAAGTGCTTGGGCTGGCACAGCGGTGGGCGTGAGGAAGCTGCTGTCAGCTGGGGGATGAGAGTGAGCCCTAAGTGCTTTTCTGTCTTCAGAGAGGCCTTGTGGGGCAAGGGGTTGCAGTGGGTTGAATGGCGGCCCCTACCTCTCAAAGATAGGTTCCTTAACCTGTGAGCAAGACCTTTGGTGTCTGCTTCACAACTGGAGTTTCCCGTGGGCCCTGAGTCTGGTTGCCATGTCCTGGGAGGAGCAGGAAGTTAGGAGAGGAACACTCAGGAGAGGACCAAGTGCTGTGGAGGCAGAGGCTGGCGTGATGGCAGCCACAGGCCAGGGAGCACCCGGAGCCACCCAGAAGCTGCACGAGGTGGGAGGGAGGGCTCCTCTTCCTCTGGAGCGAGCCTGTCTCCACAGCTCTAGCAAACCGGTGCAGATTTCAATTCTGGGAAGTGCTGCTCCCCTGTAACGATACCCAGCCCCGGGGAAGGGGATCTGGAACGGAGTAATGAGCAGGGGCCAAAAGGGCTTGAGGCTCATGCTGGAACAGGTCCATCCTGCCTGATGAGAGGCTTGGTGGAACATTGGTGCTCGAGGGGCTTCCAAGAGCTCCGGAGGCAGTGAGGACCTCGGTGGAGGAAGCTGGTATTGTCCGAGAGGAGACAGACACACTGCCGTGAACTGACGCTGCTGGGAACGTGGAGGCTGAGGCACCGCTTAGCCTCAGGGAAGGAGGCGAGCAGAGGGTGTCACCGGGCACCCAGGAGACATCAGCCTTGTGGGCTGGCAGAGGCTTGGCGGGACCGCTGTCACCGGCAGGTGGAAGCACAGTGACAGACGCTGAGTGCTGAACTGAGCCGTGGAGTGAGGAAGCGAAGTGGAAGTCAGCCTGCTTTCTCCTTGCTGCTTGTAGGTGGAGAAGGAGAGCGACTTAGCGGAAACTACCAAACACCAGAGGGTGGAGGTTCAGGGGGGTCCCGGCTGGCTCCTAGCAGAGAAGCCTAACTCAGGAGATTTGCCGATGCTCAGAAAGCCAGTTCTGGAGCCACAGCCACAGAGAGACTGGCCAGTTATTTGCTGATGGGATCAGGTGTGCGAGTCATGGGTCCAGTCAGCCACCTCAGCAGAAGCCAAGAACAAAGATGAGCTACCTGGAAGGATACTCGAGTGCCTGCTGGGGGACAGCACTGACCTCTGTGACACAGTCGCAGGGATTTTGGAGCAGGGAGGCTGCCGGTGCGGACAAAAGGAAAGGCCGTTGGCCTGCTGGGATGGTGGGAGCAGGAGAGAGCTCACGGAGGCCCTCAGCAGCAGAGCAGGGGTGGGCAGCCGCAGCAGAGGCAGAGGCCGGTGGGGCCAGGAACCACCGACTACTCCCAGAGCCTGGACCAAGGGATTTGCCTGCTGGGTTTCAAGCTTTTGCGGCCAGGACCTCTGAGGTGCTATCTTCCTTTTTGGTGGCGGTGACTGTCATGCTGCCCTGCCGTGGTCAATTTTAAGCAGATCACCTGTTTTGAGACCACAAGTCCGCGTGCTTTTTCCCCACCCGGTGTCTCTTCCACACCTGACTTAAATTATGTAGATAATTTAAGATGATGAAATTTGGGACTTTTTGAGCTGACATTATTTATTGATTTATGTTTTGGGGAGGTAATTTTTTTTATTTTAAAGAAAAAAAGAAAAATCAAGAAGCAAACAAACGGAAAAAATCACCAACAACTAAAGCAGAACGACAGCAACAAGAAGCAACAATAGCTATGTGGGTTTCTAAACAAGGTGGTAGGGGTCTAACAGTCATTGTCATTTGGACATTGTTATCTTCCAGATCGTGAGCTGATGGTGTGTAGAGGAAAGTCTGAATGCCACAGTGGGTTGGGATTTGAGGGGATACTGGGATAGGTCAGTATATTATGGGTGCAAGGTGGAGATTATTTTAGGGAGCAAGGTGCAGGCTAGAGGTTTGAGTGCTGGACCCCAAAATATGTCCACGCCTAAGAAGTTGATCTTATTCAGAAAAGGGTGTTGGAGGAGGTGAGTTAAAGGTCTTGAGGTGAGGCCAGCCTTACTGCCCATGGGCTGCAGCTCTGAGCAGCTGTCCTCTAAAGGGGCAGAGGAGACACCGGGTGGGGAAGAGAGCTTCCTGGAAGACGGAAGAGATGAGCCCTGGACCAAGGAATGGTGCGGTCTGCAGAACTAGAAGAGGCAGGAAGGGCTTCCACTGTCTCACTGGAGCAAGCACAGCACTGCCCTCTCCCGATCTGAGGTTTCAGGCCCCCCGAACTGCTAAATTCCCCAAGTTCCTGGTAACTTGTTGCAACAACCATGAGAAGCCAATGCTGCTGATGCTGGACCGAATGTGAGCCCCAGGTCTGAGCACAGCTGAGGTCCAGGGCTGCTGGGGAGGACCGCAGGCTCAGGCCACATGTGCCTGGACTGGCTGCTTTCGAGAGGCAATTCCAGAAAGGAGAGCCAAGGCGGGCTGGGGCTCTTTCTCGGACCCCAGGCCATGCGTGGAGTGGGCCAGGGCCTCTCTTTGTGCTGTCTCTGGGCTCTGCTGCTGACATGGTGATGGGACACGTGCTGTGTGCAGTGTTTGGAAGTTGGTAGAAGAGCCTTCTCCTTTCTGCAGCCACCAGCCTGGGCCCATCACCCCAGACTGCCTGGCTTTGTGACTAAGACCTGCGCCACAGAGCTTATATGCAGTTTATGATGAATATTGCTCCTAGAAATACTCAGCTCCCTGTCGAAAGAAAAAGCGAGCCCAAATGAAACAGATGGAGGCTGAAGTGGCCTTGTAAGCAGAATGAGTCCTGGGTGCAGCCCTGGCCCTGGGTGAGCCTGGCAGACTGGTAGCTTGTTGGCCAAGTTAACCTTCCATTGGAAAATTACACAGAAAAAAGAATTCTGTTCAGAGCTTTCTTTAGCAAGCACTTCCTGTTTGAAACGTTGTCGGCATGGCTCTGATTAAAATGAGCATCAGTCTGCTTGTACTGAGTGGGGAAACTTGTGTCAGGAGGCCGAGTGGCCTCTTTGGGAACCCCTCCTGCCTCCGGGACATGTGTCCTTGGGCCTCAGGACTCTCAGCAGGACAGGACTTCAGCGTTCTCTGACTCTCTGTGGTGGGGCTGTGGGGCCCCAGGGTAGGGGTTCGGGTGGACAGGGGACCCTGAGTGGGCACTGAGGGAGGTACCCTGTGGGCTCTGGCCTCTGATGTTCTTGTCTCTCTGTTTGAAGGAAGGAGCCGCAGCCGGAGCCATCGCCCAGGTCAGTCCCTCCTGCCTCCAGCTGCCTTGGCGTGTCTGCTGAGTGCGCACCCTACAGTCCTGCTCTCTGTCTGTGCACTGCAAGTCGTGGGGCAAAGGCTGTCGTGGGACCCGTGTGTGCTTCCATGTGTGAGCGTGCGGCTGTGTTCACAGCATCCTTGCAGGGCTTTGGACTCTGCAGCACTGTGGGTCTGGGTAGCTGGGGGCTTCCTGGTGCGCCCGCTCCCGCCTGCGCCTCCAACCTCCCAGGAGACACCAAGGATGGGGATTTCTGCTAGATGATTCCCCCAGGCCCGAGGCCTAGATTTACAGCAGTCTGAGCTGAGTGCTCAGGTGAAAATGTCTACCGGTTAGCACTCCTGGCACTCTGGGCCGGGCCGGGAGGGCTGGATGCCAGTAGACGGGCTGTCAGTCTCTGGGTGAGGCTGAGTCAACACCACCTCTGGGAGTTGGACGCCCTCCTCCCATTGTGTGTGCCACTCAACCCTGTCCCCTTTGCTGAGGGCCCATCCAGGGACTTCGGCTGGGTCCTTTCCCTGGCCTCTGCTGGCCCCGAGGTGCTGTGAGTTCAGGCAAGTTAGATGGGCTCATAGGGCTAGCTCTGTTGCAGGAGAGGAGGCCAGGAGCCAGCTACTGTCTTCCCAGTGCCAGAAAGAAAATCAGGATCATTTCACAACGACGATTCCAGTGCACTCCAGCACCTGAGCATCCTTGCTGAGCTCCCAAGATCCTCTGGGCAAATGCGTGTCCCCCAGCCCAGTGCCCTGTCCACATGTTGCAGAGTAACTCTGACCCTAACCTTGGGTCTGAGTCAGACGCCTACCTGCCTCCCTCGTGACCCACCTGGCCAACCCCTTCCTCTGTCCAGCCAAGAAGGACTTGACCCTTCATTCATCAAATCCCATGGAAGGGGAAAAAGCAACGGGAGCTATTATTGAAAGTATTGACAGTGTCTCTGCCCAAAATCAGCAAATGGAAAAACCAGTGACCGAAAACCCCTCAAAGAGGATAAGAAAACTAACCCTGGAGCTAGGGAGAGAGAGGCCGGCTCATCATAGTGCTGGCCAGCGTGTGACCTAGTGTTGCTGGTGACCAGGTCGGGTAAAGAAGAGAGCCAGCCCCACCCAGTCCTGTTTGGGATGAAAGGGGAACGGGGTGCCCAGCCTTGCTGTGGGGGCTGCTCAGAAAGGGGCCACTTGTTCTCACTGCCACCGCGCTGTGGCTGCCCTATCCTGGCCCCAGCGCCTGGCAGTGGCCGGATGGGCAGCCCTGTGCCCCTCACCAGGGGTACTGGAGCTGAGCTCTAATCTGCCGGTGGGGCAGGGGCCTGTTTGCCCCCTCTGCTGCCCACCCAGCACCCCGCCCTCCTGGAGCAGTTCTCCCGAGGCTCCTGGCCCCGTGGGGTTTCTCGAGCTTGTCGCCTGTAGCTTTAGCCTCCTCTGCGCGATTCTCTCTCAGCCTTTCTCTCTCTCTCTCTCCCTCTCCTGCCCCCATTTGGAAAATCTTGCTGCCCCCAAGTGCTTTTAATCACTGTCACTGCCCTTCTCGGGCCCCTTTCTCGTCTGCTCTGTCTTTTGGGATGAGGTGCTGACCCTGAAAGCAGGACTCAAGGTGAGGACCCACGGGAGCCCCCAGCTCTCTGGTATGTTCCGTGGCTCCCCTGCTCCCTGTCCCTGCCACTCCTGTGTCTTCCCTGCGTGGCGTGTCGGTGGTCCCTGCCTGCCTGTGCCTCCCCACGTCCTTCCCTGAGGGCCAGTGTCTGCCAGCCTGGCCCTTCTGGGATGCTCTGGGGTAAGGTGCTCAGTTGGGGCAGCTGATTTGGGCCCCGTCCCCTTGGGAGGGGCTCCAGGGGCTGCTTCTGTCAGGGAAGACCACCCACCTGTTCCCCAGGATGCATACCTGCCAACCAAGTGACAGAGGCTGGTGTCTCTGTCCCCTGCTGGGGCAGCCACAGCCCCTCAGGTCTGCAGGACATTGTTCTTTTACTGAGGTAACAAGTGGCAGGCGGGCCTGTCCTTGGGCTGCCAGTGAGAGACCACTCTGCAGTGTTAAGGGGTGTTTGTCTCCCTAGGGCCCCCGCTGGCCCCAAGTCTCTAGGGGCTGAGCCTCTGCCCGTCTTTGAGTGCAGAGCCCTGCTCTGCGCTGGCAGGGTCCCAGCTGGCATCCTCCAGGCCGGGCAGGTGGGTGGTGTGGATGCGGGGACTCTCTCAGCTGCCGTGGACCTTCTGGGTCCCAGCTCAGGGTGTGGGCACAAAGTGGCAAGCCTCCAGCTGGCTGGGATCCTCGGCCCCAGTAGGACCCATGCGACTGGGCTGGAGTCTTTGGGGGGCCTTCTGAGGGGTCTGGGATGGGCAGTTGGGGCAGGGGTGGGGCTCTAGTGCTGCTCCGGTGTGTCTCTTGTGGCCGCGACTGCTCTGACCTGCCCTCTGTAGTCCCTTCCCTACCTCACTGCCTTCCCCAGGCCTGGAGGAGCCCCCTAGCTTCGCCCTCTGGCCAAGTGGGCCTCCTCTTTGCAGGGGGAGGCATGTGTTTGGTGCCTGTCTGTCCTGTCTGGTCTTGGTCAGTGTCTGTACCCCATGGAACCCCCATGGGCTTGCCTGCTGGCTCCCACCTGGGGCCTTGAGATCTGCCTGGCCTGTGGGAGGGGAAAGGACCCAGTGTCCACCTCAAGCCCTAGGGGAATGGACATTGTCGTGCTGGCTTGAGTCAGGGATCCTGGCACCCAGCAAGCAGTGGCGGGTGTTCGGGGAGGTTGGCGACCAGCAAGCGGCACAGTTAGAAAGTGGAGGGCTCTCTGTCTCAGTGTCCAGCAGTTAGCAGCCACGGAGTCTGATGATGCAGCTCTCCAGACATTTTTCCATCATAGAACAAGGTTTCAGGACTCCGGGAGGGTTCCTGGGGTGAGGTGACATTGCTGGGGGCAAAACTGGGGACCTTTACAGGTGCTCTGAGCCGAGGACCTCCTTTGTCCTTCTCCCTTCGGGAGTGAGGACCCTGAAGGCCCCTGGGCAGCAGCCCTGTGTTCAGGCATGAACCCCTTGCTGGGGCTGAGGGCAAATCTGCTAGCGCAGCAGGTTTGGTGCAGCTGGGGTAAAGTTAGGCAGGGCTTCTGGGAACAGCTGGAGCTGCTGGACACCAGCTGCCGCCAGCTGGATCCCAGGGGCTTGGCTGGTGATGGTTTCTCTGAGGTCAGCCATCCAGGCCAGCTTTACTTAGTCCTGTTTCCCCAAAGTGCCTGAAGCTGTTTTTCTGCTTCAAAAACAAACCCCTGTGGGGTTGGGCCCCAGCCTGCATGCACCCAGACTCCCCTGTGGCAAGGGCCAGGGCCCTGGAGGAACCACCACACTGCCTGTCTGCCAGGATTCGCACAGTGCGCTTTGTGCCTAAGTGGAGAGATTGATGTAAGGAAACATGTCGCAGAGAGCATCGGTTTTTAAATCAATGTGTGAAGGAGCTCGGAGAACTGACCCTGTCCTCCTGGGAGCTGGTTTCTGACTCGAGACCGTGGCACGCAGCGGTTCCTTGGGTGCAGCTTGAGAAACGCTGCTCCAGGGAACTGGCTGCAAAAGGGGCCAGGCAGAGCTGGAGGGAGATGATGGACCGGTCTTGTTACTGCTGCTCACTGTTTTCACTTGTGTTTAAAACGTGCAGTCCTGATGCCGAGGCAAACGTCCAGGGCTCCAGTGAGATGCTGGGGCCGAATCTTTGTGGACTCTTTTCGGAGGCCAGGTGTGAAGTGGCCTCACCAAGATGCGGTGGCCTAGCTCTGGCAAAAGCCTTCTTCAGTCTAGGCACCCCAAGCCTTCTCCCAGTTACGAGCAGACGTCCCCCTCACCCCAGACCGAGACCCACTTCTGGCCGAGCCACAGGCTGGTGTGGCGAGACCTCGCTGCCTAGTTTGAACGTTAAGTTGCACATTTTTTCTCCCTGAAAGGTGCATGCGTCACTGCAGTTCCTGCCGGGTCATAGCCACCTCAAATCAGCCTCTGCAAAGTCTTCGCCTATGTATTATTTTTATTGTTGTTGGCATGGATATAGCAAAAAATAATACATTTTTTAAGACACGAACTTAAACTCTGGCTTTGGAAGGAAAAGGTATTTTTGGAGGAAAAAACCCAGAATCTTTTTCTCCAAAAATAGGAGACTATTTTCTTTTCCAGGCTGTGGAAGACTTTCGTGCATCCCCTCTGGCTGTCCTTGCTCAGACGCAAACTCCACAGCTGAGGGACTGAGCCCAGCCCTACCCGGTGGTGGCGGTGCCTCGTGCACCTGCTGTCTGCCGGTCCTGCCGGCCCTGGCCCCGGACTAACTGTGCTCTCCTCGTTTCCAGTAAAGGCAGACCGTGCCGAGGGTGCCTGTGCGGATGCTGCCCTGGACACTCTAGGTACCGCGCAACGCTCGCACGGACTGACGCCCCGCTGCACGCTCCTGCCTCCCTGCTTACTAGAGGTTCCAGATGAGCCGGCCAGCACCCCCCAGCTCGAGGCCTGGCCCTCCCCCCACACACCAAAGTGCCGCTGCTGCTGCTACCTCGGAGGCAGGGCGCTGGCCAGAGCCCCATTGTATTGCTACAGAAACCCGGCACTGCCCTTCAGGGAGCCGCTCCCCCAGGGCTGGCCAGTCTGGCACCTCTACTAGGCACTGAGGTCCATCCTTAGCCGCCTCACAAAGGAGGCAGCTCTCCGTGTGCTTTGTGCTCGGGGGAGACACCCAGCCCCAAGCCTGAAGCCACGGCTCCCCCTCTGACTCATAGGCCTGGTTCAGGGCAGACTGGAAGCAGGATGGTGGAAAGGCCCCACCGGACCCCTTGCACTGTGCCCACACCTGCCCGACCCCTGTCTGCTGTTGGGTGTGTGGAGGCCTCTGTCCTGCTTGCTCCGGGGCCCTTCCTCTGAGTCCCCCCAGTGCTGCCCAGCGTGTGCAGGCAGCGCACAGTGCCCCTGGTGTGAGCTCGCCTGGCCCTGTGCATGCGTGGGTTGGCGCCCAGCAGCATGCTGCGCCTCTGCATCTGTGCATGCTCAGACCTTCTCCACCAGGAGAGGGGCTTGCAGGGCCGACCCCGCCCCAGGCCTCTCTTCCAGGTCAGGCACTTGTGGGGTGCCTGCTGCAGCACCAGAAAGGGAGGTACCCTGCTTGGGTCCTGGCTGTAGCTGTCCTGATTGCCTGGCCAGCATTTGTGTCCAGGGTACTTCTGGCCACAGGCTGAGTCCTTGGGTCGAGGGCTGATGTCAGGCTGCGTGGGGACAGGAAGGTATGGAGCTGTGGAGCAGGAAAAGCCTGCCTAGCTCTGTTCTCTTTATGGGATGTCCCCTTGCTCTCCCCGGGCATCGTTGGTCCAGTGTGGGTTGGGCAGTAACTGTAGATCCGGCTTCCTGCATTGCTGAATTGGTCCCTGTGTGCTGGCCAGCCTGAGGGCCATTTCATGGCACGTCCCTGGGAGAGTGATGGGCCAGGAAAAGGCTGCCCCCCCATTCTGCTTGAGCTTGTCCCTCATAAATGCCAAAGCAACCTGACTTAACCCAAGAGGTGGCTCTGGTGTGAGCGCCCTCGCCAGGGCAGGCAGGGAAGTGCTCCAGAGCCCCTCTTGCGTTTGCTTTGTCCTTGGCTTGGAGGTCAAGGGAGCCTCAAGACCACAAGGCCATCCAGCCCGGAGCTGAAGAAGCCTCACTGACCTCCTGCAGGTTGAGCCGTTCTGTCCCCACCTTGGCAGGGCCTCCCTTGCAGGTCTCAGGTGGGAGTGGAGCCTTAAAGCTGGGGACAGCGGAGCCACCACCAAAGCCCTGGCTGCTTCCTGGCAACTTTGCCTCTGCTGTGGCCGCAGGTGGCTCTGTGTGGGTCTGGGGCCCTGGCTCCGCTGGGCCAGTGCTTATCATGCGGACTGTAGGATGTCCTGCTAGGAAGGAGCAGCAGTCGACTCCAGGTTCCTCTGGCGGGGTGGGGAGCTTGCAGAATTCATTCAGTCCTCACTTCATGCAGCTCTGGAGACTTGGGGTTCTGAGCCTTCTTGGCCAGGCTCGGGTCAGGTGGCTGAGCATTTCACTGGCAGGACTGCAACATCCCCTCCCGTGGGCACCTTTCCTGGTTGCCAGCCCTCAGTGCTGTGCGTCTCCAGGAGCGCCGGGATTCAGGCCTGTCACCCTGGTTTGGTGCACAGCTGTGCTTCTGGAGGATGTGACTGGCTCTCCTTGTCTCCTTTCTGTCACTGCTTAGGATGGAGGAGGGAGGAGTGGAAGTGGACCTTGAGTGATGTTAGAGAGTGTGGTTTCCAGCCTGCCCCAGGATGGGCTGGAGGGGCTTGTTTCTTGCATCTAAAATGGTCGTGTGATGGAGGAGGAGCCCACAGGAAGAGAGGGATTCTGGAAGCTGGTGTCCCCCTGAGCTGGACAAGAGCCACCACAGCTCTTAGCAGGTGGCCCCAGTGTCTGGGGCCTCTTTGGGATAGAATGAGAAGATTACCTGGTCTCAAGGTAGCCCTGGCTCCCATCCACCAATTTCCCAAGTGAGCAGCTGCTGCTGCCCCACTGGACGTGACACCACGTGGTCCCCACCACTGTCTCAGGAGGGTTCATGCCAAGCCCACCACCCTCATAGTTTTCTTTCTTGATCTTTCCTTTCTTCAGAGACCCAGTAGCACAGGCTCTCGAGTTGCCTGCTTCCTGGGGGTGGGGTGGAGAGAGGACTTGGGTCCTATCCCTGGTGTCCAGCATGGGTGACAGCACTGTGGCTGTCTCTTTTCTATGGTGAGCCCCTCTGTACTGCTTGTGGGGTGTGTCCTCCAGCCTGAGGCTGGGGAGGGGGCCTGCAATGGTGGAGGTGGAGGTGGGGCCCAAGACATTCCTGAGGGACCCTGGGCATTGGGACTTAATCTTGGAGGGATGGCTGAGACCCACCAGGCCTCTCTGACTCTGGGGCTGATCTCTGGCCCTGCCTGGAAGCTGTTGGGGGACACCTGAGGCTCCTGCAGGGCCCGTGTGAATGGTCGTTCAGTCCATAAGAGACCTGCTGTTCTCCAGGGTGATGGTGGAGTTGGGAGCGGGGAGGAGCCAGGCCAGGCCCAGACCTGGTTTCCCAGACAGACCAGGGCAGAGGCCTCGATTGCTAGAGCCCGGCCACGGCTTTCCTTTCCCCTGTGGCCTGGAGGACTTTGGAGTTGGTGAACATGGGGTGTCAGCCCTGTTGCTGGGGCTGACATGGGACACGAGACACAGGAGGCCTGAGGAAGCAGAGCCTGTGCTGGAAAGAGCCATGGGGTAGAGGCACGAGAGGACCTCCTCTTGCCTGGGGCCAGGGTCTGTGGCAGCCAGGGTGCCTCTTCCCTGCCATCCTGGGCAGGAGTGGGGTGTTCTGCTATCCAGACTCACCCCTGTGAGGGTGGTTCACAGCGATGGGTGGTGCTGGACAGCAGGCCATGGGGAGGCCTGGCGATACTCGGGGTTTGTTAGAAAGGCTGGTACACCTGGATAGGCCCTGGCTGCAGCACTGCCGTCTCCTGGCCCTGGGGCAGGAGGTGGAGAGACAGGGTCAGCTGGGGGCAGTTAGAGGGACCACCAGGAAAGCAGCTGGCCTGACTGGTGCAGATGCAAGGCTCTAGGGAAGAGCCCAAGCTCTTGTGTCCAGTGTCATGCTGCAGGGACTGGCAAGGCAGTGTGGAGAGGGCCTGGCATCTGGTGGTGGCGGTGGAATGGTTTCCAGGTCTGTGCCATCGCCTCCCAGGCGTGGCTGAGCTCTGCCCACCCCTCCCTGCCCCACGCTTCACCCCAGCAGCTGCTCCCAGCCCCCTGCCTGGTTGGTTTCTCTTTGGACTTGTGTCTCCCTCCTGTCTTGTGGGGCAGCACTGGCCGAGAGCAGACATGAACGGTGCTATTTCCAGAGTGACTTCTCTTGCTGTTTTTCTGTGTGTGTCTGTCTGTCCACCCATCTGTCTGTCGGTTCTCGTGGGAGCAGTCAGAAGGTCAGTTTGAAAGATCGTGTCTTCTCCAGCCCCCGAGGCGTGACTGCCAAGGGGAAGGGGTCTCCCCAGGCCCAGCCAGTCCGGCGGTCACCCAGCGCTGACCAGAGCCTTGAGGACAGTCCAAGCAAGGTGCCCAAGAGCTGGAGTTTTGGGGACCGCAGCCGAGCGCGCCAGGCTTTCCGCATCAAGGGCGCTGCATCACGGCAGAACTCGGAAGGTGAGTCCAGTACAGGGCTGCTCTCCCTGGTGCCGGACGGCTGCTGCGGAGGGACATCAGCGCCTGGCGCAGGACACGTGTGGTGGCCTCTTGGAGCAAGGGTTTCCTACCTTTTTTTCTTTGAGTCAGAATTGCCATTCTGGCAGGTACCGTTTGGGGCTTTCGTGCATTGTGTTTGCAGTGGTCCTCTCTGCCTGGGTCCAGAGCACTCATCATGCAGAAAGGACGCCCTAAGCCTGCTAGCGGCCACCCTGCTGGCAGCCACTCCTCAGCCCGGCCCCCTGGCCTGCTCCGTCCCCGTCCCTGCCTGAGTGGTGGAAGGGGACGTCAGGTGCTCCAAACAGCCGGCTTCTCCCGGGAGTGTGGTGCTGCTGAAGTCTGCTTGCTGAGGACAGGGCCCCGTGCTTTTCTGGCTGAGAGAATCCTGTGTGCTGGTTGTCCTTGAGGCCGGCTGGTTCTGTCACAGAGATGTCTTCTGAACCCTCACAGCGGCTACTCCCTGGGGGCTGCAGGCTGCAGAGACTCGGGTGTCCACGGTGCTCAGCCTGGGCATTGTCTGCTCATGGCCTGTACTTCCTCCCCCCCAGAAGCAAGTCTCCCTGGAGAAGACGTTGTGGAGGACAACAAGAGCTGTAACTGCGAGTTTGTGACCGAGGACCTGACCCCTGGCCTGAAAGTCAGCATCAGAGCTGTGTGGTGAGGAGCCCTGCCCGGCTCGGGGGCTGTTTGCCACAGGTCCGCCGTGCCAGGGGACGACTTCCAAGGAAAAGGCAGAGCTGGGTGTGCTGGGGCCACTGGCAGGCTTGGTCTGAGGGTGCTTCTTCACAGGAAGGCCAGTCCCCTTCTCAGAAGGTCAGGAGCCCATGAGGGGCCACTGGACTGACAGCCCCTGTCTGTCCCAAGTGTCAGGGGAGTCTGTCAGTGGACAGCCAGGTCTCCCCACACTGGGCAGTCCAGGTGGGCAAGGGTGTGTCTGAGAGGCCAAGTGCTGAGAGTAGCTGATGTCAGGGAAGTGGGGACCTAGATGAGGGGGCAGTCTTCTCATGGGCATTACTCCTCCCGGGGCTGCTGTCTCAGAGATGCTTGCAGGGGACAGGCAGGGGGAAGCTGGGCCCAGCCGGCTGGGCTGTGGCTGGACAGTCTCTGGCCTGGGAGCTCAGAGCTCCGCTGGTCCCTTGCAGTGTCATGCGGTTCCTGGTGTCCAAGCGGAAGTTCAAGGAGAGCCTGCGGCCCTACGATGTGATGGATGTCATCGAGCAGTACTCTGCTGGACACCTGGACATGCTGTCGCGCATCAAGAGCCTGCAGTCCAGGCAAGAGCCCATCACCGCTGCTGGCTGGAGGGGGCGGGTGGCACCCGGGGTCTGCAGGGAGGGGTGCAGGGCAGGGGCCGTGCTCAGGGCTGGGAGTCCTCCCGCCCACGTTGGCTTCTTGTCAGCTTTCTGCCGTGTCTTCACACAGTGTGTCTAATATTTCTCTCGTCTCTCCCTTCTCTCCCTCACCACCTGTGCTGTGGTGGGCAAATGTGTGTATGTGTGTGTGTGTGCGCTCACGCATATATGCACATACGTGTTAATGTGCTTGTGAGTGGTCTGCGAATGTGTGTGTACACACACGTATATGTGTAAGTGCATGTATGTGTGCACATGTGTTTATGCACGTGCGTATGATGTGTGTGGGTGTATGTACATGCGCCTGTGTGCTGTGCCATGTATGCACACATATGAATCGATGTGTACACATATATATGTACACATGTGTACCTGTGTGTGCATGTGTGTTGGGAATGGAGTGTTCCTAGTGAGAGCTGAAGCCACAGGGCTTCTGTAGGCCCTGGGAGGTGGCAGTCATGCTACCTGTGCTTTTTCCAGAACACCAGGCGTCTGCCCCTCAGGTCCTGCCGTGGAGCCCCCGCCCGAGCAGGACACAGGATGTGCATTGGAGGGGCAGCATAGCTGGGTCCCCACCAGCTCTCCTGTGTGAGACCTGGCTTGCTCACTCCAGAATGGGGTGTGTATGCTCCATACATACACAAGGCCCTGAGACATGCGCTTACACAGTGCGCTCCCCATGTGCAGATGTGTGTACATGTGTGCACACACAGACTCAAGTCCGTGACGTGCTCTAGCCCAGCCCCTCACATGGGCCCATGGGTGTGCACCCTTGCTCACACCAGGAGAACAGGCGCATGTGTGATTGTGGTACCTGTCAGGAGTCTCTCTGCTCTGGGTGGCAGGGAAGGAACCTCTTGGGCCTCCCAGTGCCGGGCAGGGGTGTCCACTCCCTCTCCAGGAGCTTGTGCTTCAGCCTCACTGGCCGGGCGGGGGTGCAGAGGCTGGGCTCAGGGAGTGGGAAATGAGACGCTGCCCTCCACCTCGCCTGTCCCCATGACCCGCTCCCACTCTGCAGGGTCTCATCCTCCATTTCTCCTCTATTCCTGTTCTGTCTGGAGAACAGGTGAAATGGGTTGTCCCCCGGTCAGTCTGCCCACACTGTCCGGTGGCTGTTGCAGGCACCCTCTTGGGACTTTGCTCCCAGCCTCCCCGGCTGCATCCTGAGCACCTGTGTGCTCTGCTGCCCGGCTGGGCACAGGCTCAGTGCCAAGCAGAATGCTTGGCCTGGAGCTCGGAAAGCTCCGAGAGGCCACCGGCAAGGGCGCGTGGGGCAGCTGCTGCCCAGGGAGTGGTGTGCAGTGCTCAGGGCCACCGCTCTGAAGTCGGGTGGCCCCATTTCTGTGCTTTTCCAGCGACGCCCTCTCCAGGTGCTTCACGTACATTTCGCTGCTGTCTCTTTCTTGTTTATGCTGCCAGGATAGATATGATTGTGGGCCCCCCACCCCCTTCAACTCCCCGGCACAAGAAGTACCCCACCAAAGGACCCACGGCCCCTCCGAGAGAGTCACCCCAGTACTCACCTAGGTCAGGACACAGCACCTCCTCCCAACCTGTCTTTGTGAATGGCCGGCCCCTTCGCTCCAGGCTACATGACGGTGGCCCTTGCACTGCTCTTGCCCGGACAGAGTGACGCCAGGTTCACTCTTTCTGACGACACTGCTGAGGAGAAGGCTGCTCCTCAGCAGGCCCTGCCGGGTCTGCAGTCCTCTGGCCCCAGGATCCTTAGCACGGTGTCCTTGTGGTATTCTACTTCAGGCCCTGCCGGGTCTGCAGTTCTCTGGCCCCAGGACCCTTAGCACGGGTGTCCTTGTGGTATCTTACTTCAGGCTGGGCGGGTAGAAGCAGAGGCTGTCACTGGCCACCAAGGTATTGTTTGCCCAGCTGCAGATGCACTCCTGAGGCTAAGGCCCTCCGTGCCTCACTGGACACTGACTCAGGTCTCTGGACACCTGGCCTGGCTTTGGCCTGGGCACGGGCATAGATGAGAGCAGGAAGGACTACTTCCTGGGGGACTGTCCTCTGCCTTATGACATGGGTGACTGGATCTGCTGCTTGAAAGCCCCTCCAGCACCACGCCGACCTGGTGCTGAATGGCTCCAAGTTGCTGTCATAATCAGTATTGCTGGTAAGGAGATGGTAGGAGCCGGAGGCCTGCCCACTTTCAGCCAATGGACAGAATTGGGGATCAGGCCACAGCCAGTGGCAAAGTAATTAACCCAGATTTTCAAGGCTTCTGGCTTCCCTGGTGCGGCCAGATGACTGTCCCCTTTCTCCGGCAAGCTTGACAAGCCAGGAAGACCACAGTCCCTAGAGCAGGAAGAGGAAGGGCAGACCCCAGCCCTGCCTGACGGCTCGGGGGCAGCAGGGTCCAGGCAGCTTGGTGCTGGGGTAAATGGCACCTGGTGAGCTGGCAGTGTGGCCTCTGCCCATTCCCTTGGGACAGGGTTGCGGCCCATGAGGCCAAGGGGCCAATCCATGGCTGTTCCCAAGAGGACTCCCAGGCAGCATACAGGACTGTGTTTGCCCCTTCACCACCCAGGGCCACCCCAACAGTGCCTGGAGGTCACCCCCAGGGGATCGCTGCAGGATATGGTGGCCAGACAGCTGCAGCAGGGGCCATGGAGGGTCATGTGGGAAGGGCCCAGAGAGACAGTCTGGCCATTTATGCATCGCAAAGGAAGTTGAGGATCAGGCAATGAATGCAGTACCCCACGGGAGCCTGAGGGAAGGAACCTGCCCTGGGCACTTGGAGGACCCTCTCCTGGACACCAGTGGCAGCATTAGGCTGAGTCCTGGGCCAGGGCTCCCGATGGGACCCACCAGGCAGGGGCCCGTCATGTGGCAGGGGTGAAGGTGCTGTGCGTCTGTGCCTGGACTGTGTGGACTTGAGCACTGGGGAGCCTGTCCCCTGTCACCGCCGGTGTTTGCTTGGAGCCAGAGGGCCCTCCCCGACCCTCTCGCTGTGCATGCGTCCAGCATGGAGCCCGGTGGTGCATGGGAGGCTGCCATGGCTGACGCTAGCCTGAACCTGTTCTGCTTCGTGTGACAGAGTAGGGGTTCCTCGCCCCCTCCCCCCAGAAGTAGGGAGGCACAGCCAGGGCCCACTGTGTACAGGGCTGCAGTGTGCAGAGTGCGCCTGGCTGAGCTGCCTGGCCCGGTCCCCTGCTTGGCCGACCTTGTCTCCAGCAGCTGACAGTCAGCACAGGGTCTTTGAGTCCCGGCAGGTGGCCACACTGTCTCCAGCCCACGCACACCCTGCGACTCTGCCAGCCCTGCAGTGGCCCTCCTTGACCACGCAACCCACCCTGCTCTGGCAGGAGCTCTGTGCCCTTAGACAAAGGAGCTTCCTTCTTGTCTTTTCTTAATTTCCTGTCACTGGAAACTGAACCCAGGGCTACTCTACTACCATGTTCGACGTCCCCAGCCCTTTTTAAGTTTTGAGACAGGCTCTCACTAAGTTACCACGCTGGCCTTAGACTTGTGATCCTCCTGCCTCAGCCTCCCGCGTAGCTGGGGACCAGGTTTGCATTGGCTTCCCCAGCTTTCCTTTCCTTCTCACTCGCATTGGTGGCCACGGCCTCCTTGGTTAGCTCACTGGGTTCCGTGTCCTGCACACACATGTGAGTGTAGGTGGGGTGCACTCTTGCATGCACATGTGCAGTGCACTCTCTTGTTCTGTGCACCCCATCGGCAGTGGCTCGTCCCCCCACCCCGTGGTCGTGCGTGGGTGGCTTCTGTGCAGCGCTGTCCGCTCTCCTCCTCCTCCTGTGCATGGAGCCGCAGCCCTGCCGCCTCCTTGCTTCCGTGGTCACTGCTGCAGCCCCTGAACAGCCCCAAGGAACCCGCTGTCCTTGGGCCTCAGTGGCACATTATGCAGGAGTAAAGCTCTGAGGTGGGGGGTGGCTTTTGGGGCAACCCACCCCAGTGCCACCTCATCTCTCTCTGGGGCTTGTCCGCTGTGGGAGAGAGGGGACTTGGGGGGCTGTGTGGGCAGGGATACCACTGCAGAGGAGCTGGGGCAGACTGGCGGGGGGTCCTTCACTTTACTCCTCATTAATGTGCCAGATCCCACAGAATGGAACTAAGAAACCGGCCCTGGGGCGTCAGGAGGCAGAGCCAGCACTCAGGCACCGGTGTCCTGCTGCACCTGCTGCCCCACCCCCGCCGACTCTGGGCTGGCCTGGAGCCCAGATCTGGGGGGTGTGGGCTGGCCCAGGAAGAAGCTGCAGGGCCTGGCCACATCCTCCCAAACTCATACCTTGGGGCCGGGTCTCTGTTCCCGGTAGAGTGGACCAGATCGTGGGGCGGGGCCCGGCGATAACGGACAAGGACCGAACCAAGGGCCCGGCGGAGGCAGAGCTGCCGGAGGATCCCAGCATGATGGGGCGGCTCGGGAAGGTGGAGAAGCAGGTGGGAGAGGCTCCCAAGCCTGGGCCTGGGTGGGCTTGGCAGGAGGGGCACTTTATCCCACGGGGTTTCCCTGTCTGGAGCGTTTCCCTCACGTGGCAGCACTGAGAGGTCGGATGCCCCAATCTTCTGCGTCTCTCTGTGCCTGGGCTGGGTGCCTGACATCTGAGGGTCCTGTGGTGGGTCGTCCACCCTGAAACTGGCCGGAAGTCTCCCTGGCTTACCTGCTCCATCCTTGTTTGGTTCATCTCCCTCCCACCCCACTGTGCTCTCTGGGGCTGGAGCTTTCAAAACAAGACCCTCATCTTGGGTCTTCTTCTGGGGTCTATGAGGTCTAAAGGCTGAACTGATGTGACTTAGGGGTCCCCAAAGCTCAGCTCAGCAGTTGCCCCTCTTGTGGGACTTTTTTTTTTTTTTTTTTGGTATTGAGAATCAAACTCAGGACCTTGTGCTTGCCAGGCAGGTGCTTGTGCTGCTGAGCTATGTCCCTAGCTCTCCCTCTTGTAGGTGTTGTCCATGGAGAAGAAGCTGGACTTCCTGGTGAACATCTATATGCAGCGCATGGGCATCCCCCCGACTGAGACTGAGGCCTATTTCGGGGCGAAGGAGCCCGAGCCCGCACCACCGTACCACAGCCCCGAGGACAGCCGGGAGCATGGGGACAGGCATGGCTGCATCATCAAGATTGTCCGCTCCACCAGCTCCACCGGCCAGAGGAACTTCGCGGCACCCCCCGTGGCACCCCCCGCCCAGTGTCCGCCGTCCACCTCCTGGCAGCCGCAGAGCCACCAGCGCCACGGCACCTCTCCTGTGGGGGACCACAGCTCGCTGGTGCGCATCCCCCCACCACCCGCACATGAGCGGTCGCTGTCCGCCTTCAGCGGGGGCCACCGGGCCAGCACAGAGTTCCTGAGGCTGGAGGACGCCCCGGCCTGCAGGCCCCACGAGGGTGCCTTGCGGGACAGCGACACGTCCATCTCCATCCCATCCGTGGACCACGAGGAGCTGGAACGCTCCTTCAGTGGCTTCAGCATCTCCCAGTCCAAGGAGAACCTGGACGCACTCAGCAGCTGCTATGCGGCTGTGGCCCCGTGCGCCAAAGTCAGGCCCTACATCGCGGAGGGCGAGTCTGACACGGACTCAGACCTCTGCACGCCCTGTGGGCCCCCACCACGCTCAGCCACGGGTGAGGGCCCCTTTGGTGACGTGGGCTGGGCTGGGCCCAGGAAGTGAGGCCACACGGGCACCAGCCTTGCTTGTGCTGCCCTCCAGCTCCGCCTCCTGGCTCGTGGCCGGAGCTCTCAGGCTTTGTCCTGGGGTGACGCGGGCTGTGAGGGGCACCGGTGGGCCTGGCTCCTGGGGTCTCAGCAGGGTGGCAGGTGCGCAGGGCTTTTGGCTCATGCAGTGTCATTTTGCAGTTCTTTCCCAAGCTGGGCTGGAGGACTGCCTGTCAAGCAAGGCCAGCTCTGCCCAGTCTGCTCAGGGACCATTGCCTGGCATGGGAGAAGGGCAGAGCGATGTGGGGACACGGCCAGAGGCATGGGTGGAAGAGAGCAGCCTGTCCCCTGTCTCCAGCCTTGAAGCCTACACGGGCGGGGGCTCCCTGCTAGGGTTGATGGCTCTCAGAGAGAGCGACGAGTACTGGGCATGGGCCACCCTGCACCCAACCATTTGTCCCTCTGTTCCTGACTGTCCCCAGCAAGGTACCACCAGCCACCATCTGTGTGTACACGGCTGGGCAGAGCTCCTCACCCTTGCCAGCCTGGCTAGAGAGTTACCGGCCAGCATCCTCCCCCTCGGTCTTCAGGGCCAGCAGATCTTTTGATGGGAGCTGCCCCAAGTTCAGGGCCCTTTGCCTGGAGCTGAGGAAGGGTGAGACCCTGGAACCATCCTGTGGAGGGCAGGGCTTGCATCCTTGTCACCAAGAGCCCCTTAGGGGCTGCCCTGGGACTGCGCTGTCAGGATGTGTGGGAGCCAGCAACATCTCAGCCACAGAAGGCCTGGGCAGCTATGACTCTCCTCTCTCCTGACTGCTTCGGTTGGGTGCTGGCCCCCAGGCTGTGGCCAGCATTTTGAAAGATTCATCTAACTGAGCAGAGCCACACTGTCCGTAGCCAGGGCCCCTCCTTGCTTGTCCAGCCCATGCCCCACAAGACCCAGGCAGGGCGGGATGGAGCATCACTGGCCAGAGAAGTTCTTCAGACTTCTGGCTCTATGTTCCAGACAGTTGCTGAGCTTGCCTGAGGGTCCTTCCTGTTGGGCCTGACTGCACCCTGGCTGCTGTGTCCACGTATGGGTCCCTTGATAGAGGCCTCTACGTGTTCTGGGAGTTAGAGATATCTGTCCCCATCTTGGGCCCTGGGAGCAGGAACCTTTGTCCCTCCTGTCCTGGGCACTCTGGCCTGGCCCACAGCCAGCTGCAGAGGGGTACAAGCCCAGCCACTGAGGGATAGACAGAGTCCCAGTTCTGCTCCTCTGCCTCTGGCCTTGGTGACACACTGAATGTCAGGCCAGGGCTCTCTGAAGTGGCCAGTTACCTGGCCAGCAAATCAGCTACATGCCCGCCCCGGACACTAGTTGGGCTGCCGCTCACGCCCTTGTGTGAAGTCTGTTCTTGTGAGGACTGTGGGTAGCAGGGGCTTTGTCTCAGCAGCAGAGCCCATCTTGTCCTCTGGAAATGGTCTTTGGGGTCATGTGCCCCTGGCCATCAGAGGTCCTGGGTGCTTGGGAGCCTTTGGGAGCTGTGATCTGACCAGGGTCCAGGGTCTCACTCTAGAGCATCTCTACCAGCCTGCTGCCCAAGTTGGCACCACACTGTCCCCTTGGCACCCTGGTTCTCATGAGCAGAGTTGTGTGGCTGAGATCCTCTCTTTGGGGAGAGGCATCTCTTCTAGCATGGCCATTTCATGTGGGTGACATGGGTAGGATGCGGGATCATGACCTTACTGTTCTCCTTTAGGCCAGTCTGAGCCCAGGTCTAATCATCCTTTGCCCTTGGTGGTAGATTGAGGAGGCTCCTACGGGAGGCACAGGCAGGGCTTGAGTGCCCACCATGAGCCCCAGTCCTGTCCTCCTAGGCCCTCCTAGGCCTCAGTCTGCTCAGGCTCCAGGCTGGAGGAGGGGCTTCTTGCCCCCATGGGAGACGAGCTCACGTCGCATGGGCACCACCAGTGTACATGTGCCCTCCTGGGGCCCGTGCCGCACCTCCTGTCTCCAGGGAGTGCCTGGGGCTCTGCAGTGTGAGGATGGCTCTCCTGCATCCTAGCAGCTCAGGACAGTAGCAGGGTTTTCCTTAGGTTGCAGCAAGAGGGATATAGCTAGACCACCAGCGTCAGAGCGACTCTCAGGACATCATGCTGTCTCCAGGCCCTTGGAAGAGCAAAGTGTGTGTCTCAGTGGGGTGGTTGGGGGTCTATTCTGGGAGACCATGGGGCAGGAGCTCCCTCTGGGTGTCCCTGGACCCAGCCAACTAGCACAAATGTCCACTGACCTGAGTCCCCACGCTCAGAGAAGCATGACAGGTAGGAGGCTAGAGGTTTCTGTGAAAAGTGTGAGCACTTTCTTGGGTCTCTGTGTGTGGCTGAGTGTGGCTAGGGCCAGCACCACCCACTGGCAAAGTTTTCTGGGCCGAGGTACTTGTAAGAGCACGTGTCCCCCATCCCCCCACACACTCCTGCAGCCAGATGCACACATGCACTCACACTTGCACATGAAAACCCACAGGCCATACTGCTAGTACCCACTTTCACCCGCACACACCACAGGTACACACTTTCACACACACAAGCTCACACAAGTGTACATGCATGCACATGCATGACAGGTTCACGCCTTCACATGTGTACAAGCTCACACATGTACACACACAAGGCAAGTATGTGTTCACATAGGTGCCTATGCAAAGCACGTATGAATAGGTGCACCATTCCATGAATGCACACATGAGCAGATCATACATGGCAGGCACACATACACACACACACTTACACATGTACATGCAAGCTCACAGACCATACCGAGCAGGCACACACATTCACACATGTATATGGAAGTGCACACACACGGCAGGTACACACCTTCACACGAGCATGCTCCTGTGGGCACACACAGGCACATCAGCTATGTGGTACGTGCATCCCTGCATGCTCTCACACAAGACCCCATTTGGACTTCGGCTGTCCTTTGTTTCTGATCTGCTTTTTGGCCCTTCCTGATTTAAACCACAAGAAACTATAGTTCTAGAATATTGGACATAGGCAGTGTTCTGACCACCTGGGTCTCCTACATGGTAGTGGCAGAGGGTCCCATGCTGTCTTCTTCCTTATGGTCTGCTGTATGCTCAGAGGTGACACTGGAGTCAGAGGCCCTCAGTGTTTACCAGGTGTAGGTCTGTCCTTGCACTGGCCCTGTCCAGCATTTGGCCCTGGCCGGCTCCTTGGACCCAACCTCATCACCCCCAGGCCCTGCTCCAACCAGGCCCTGCCTGCCCACTATTGGCATTTTCTCACCTGACGTCTTTCGGTCCCCTCCAGTCATGGCCCTGGGGAGCCCACCCTCATGTCCTGTGCTGGGGCCTCTCCCCCTGGGTCTCGTAGGGTAGATGCAGAGACCATGTCCCAGGTTGATCATGGCCTGTGGGACCCACAGGGGCACCACAGTGCACCTTACCTATTGTAGGGGCTTTGCTTCACACCCCATTTCTGGGTTGCAGGGTTGCTGAACATGGCAAGGGCCCCTGTACTCACTGGGGTCCCTGGCTGGGAGAAAGGCACCGACTGGACCTCCTCCACCTAGTGCACCGGTTCATTTGAGATCACCTTCCCCCTGCAGCTGGGTACGGCCTGTGTCCAGGTGCTATGAGGAGGACCCATTCTTGGGGGGACTAAGCTGTTACTGGAAGCCCACAGAGGCAAAGGGAGTTGGGAGGCCTTTCAGCTAGATGCTGGGTTCCTGTCTGGGTCGTGCTCAGCCTGCCTGTAAATAACATATAGAGTAGAGGCTGAGGGAACCTGCCTTGGACTGCACGTTGCCGGTGACAGCAGGATGCCAGACATTTCCGCTGCCACAGCCTCTTAAAACAAACATGGTGAGGGGGCCTTTGATCAGCATCCACTGCAATGGGAGACACGCAAGCCCCAGCACCATGTGGTTTGGGATCAGGTTCCCGACATGGTTGTCAGCTCCTCCCAAGTGTGCAGGACGTGGGTTTGCCAGGCCTGCAGGCCGTACTCACCCTCAGGGTGCCCGGTCAGCTGTCCTGCTCCCTCCAGGGCCTGCTCCACCTGAGCCCCAGCCAAATGCTAAGGCAGATGGAGAGGCAGGGAAGGCTTCCTGAAGGAGGAGGTATAATGGAATTGAGGGCTCAGGAAGAAGCCCCGGGCTCCGTCCCCAGTGGGAGACTGGGGGTGTCCAGGTCCCCCAGGGTGGACTCAGTGAGGCCCTGTTTCATGGTCTCACAAGGTTGGCATCCTTGGGAGGAGGTGGCTGGAGGGGCTTCTGGGAACAGGGTAGAGAAGGGAAGGTGGCCCAGAGGTGGGACTCCCAAGTCTGCAGAGGCACTGGAGGGGATTGAGGTGAGGCCATCCAAGCTCCTGCTCTGGACACCTGCCTAGACGTCCCTGGCTGACTGAGGGTGCTGGGACTGGCTAGGCCCGTCCTGAGATCTCCATGGTACTTGACTCCGATAGGTGTGGGGGAGGAGGGAACAACCCCTGGGTCCCTAGGTCCCTGGGTCCCTGGGCTCTTAGGTGGAACTGCATGTTGCTAAATGCCGCATGTCCAACTTGGACTAGGTTTCCAAAGTCATTGCCTTAATGCATGCTGACAGGGGCCCTGAGGCCACCCACGGGCCTGGAGCTGCCTCCAGGATGGGCCGCCCAGGGGCCACAGGGTCTGGCTGGAGCCGAGCCACGCAGGCAGTCTCCCTGGTTGTCACTCGCGGAGGCCCTCAGACCAGCTGTCCCCTTGACGCCGTCCAGCTGCCTGGGGACGGCCTGGCGCACCGCGTGCCCGCCCCCCACGCCCACGCCCACGCCCCCCATTGCAGTCCCGCCCCCGCCGCCACGCTGGCTGCAGCTTCCCCATCTGCGCTGTTGCCTTGTCTGTCTTTGCACTTTCGTTCATGCTCCAAAGAAAACTTCGCAATGCCTTCGTCCCGACGCCCGCCTGCTCCGTCCTGCAGGCCCGGGGCACTGGGACCCGGCCTTTTCCTTTTGGTGAATGTGTCGCCACCTGCACACTGATCTCGACTCCACGCGCTGTCTGGCTTCCAGGGACAGGCGCCAGGGACGAACCCTACTTCCTGAGGAATAGCGAGCCGCTCACTGCCTCCACACACACGGGCCGACGCTCGCGCCTCGAGAACGGCTGGCGCGGGTTTGTGGGGGGACTTGGGGTGCAGAAGCCCACCGCAGGGACATGTACGGACATTCTGGACAGTTCTGCCACAGGGCCGGTCCAGATGCCCAGTGGACCTGTGCACTTAGTAAACACAGTGATTCAACCTGGCCTTCGTGTGGTTTCCTTGCTGTCTCGGGCTCCTGGCCTGGGGGTTGGAACTGCAGCCCGTGGCCCTTTCCTGGGGCTGCCTTGGAAGGGCTGTGAGCCTTGGGACACCTAAACACCTCCCCAGCCAAACCCTGTGGCCCCTGGGCGGCCCATCCTGTCCTTGGAGACAGAAGTCTGGGTCACCTATGATGCCCACATCCCAGCACATCTGTGGTGGCCCTGGCTATGGCCTTGGACACCAGAGCCCCACATGAGGGCAGCTTGGCTTTCTGAGTCCTGGATGGTGGCCCTGAGCTGGGCCACACAAGCCCCAGACCTCAGTAAATGCTAGATACCCTGCTTCTCAGGAGTGGGGTCCTCCTGGGACCCCTTGATCCCTGGGGTCTGCAGGATCTGGTCAGAGCTCTCTGCCTGGGCCTGCTGCCCTCGGGTGCCCACCTGGGGGTTCCCTCTGTGCCTCATGTGCATCCCAGCTCCAGCCAGGTCCTTGCCCTGCCTCCTCCCTGGCTGTCGGCAGCACCAGCAGGCTGAGCTGGAGGGTGGGCAGGCACTCAATAATCTGCTTCCCCCCAGAGGGCCTCATGAGGCTGGGCCCTGGGCATTCTTGGTTGCTGCTCCTGCCCGCTGACCTCTCCTGCATCCCACAGCTCCTTGGGCCTGAGCTCAGCCCAGCAGGGAGGGGGGCTTTGGTGCCCTTGGCGACTCCTCCCACTGCCCAGACACCCTGTCCGTGGCCAGGAGCTCAGAGTCTGAAGGCCACAGCTCAGAGTGGGTGCGGGTCTTGGCTGGGGGCCAGGGCCCTCAGGAGCAGGGCTGTTGTGATGAGTCTATAGCTGGGGACCTGTCCAGGGTGTCCTGTGCACCTGCTCCCTCCTCACTGGCCAAGGGAGGAGAAGAGCCTTTCCACATCTCCCCCAGCCTGTGCCCAGCAGGCTCAGTGGGATTAAGATTAGAGTTAGACCCTGGTTGCTGTCTACAGAGAAGCCCTAAACAGCCAGCTGGGCTTGTATCCATCTTAACACCGACACGTTTGGAGGGGGCCGTCCAGGCTGGGGTGGCGGGCAGCCCTCTGGTGCCAGGATCCAGGGTCCTCTTGTTTTATTTCTGTGTTGTGCATGACTTCCTCTTTCAGGGTTCCACATGGTCCAGTATGGCTGCTGGAGTCAGGTCATTACATGCCCATTCTAGCCACAAGAAAAGGGATATGGCAAAAAGGGTACACCGCTTCCTTTAAGTAATATAGCTACTTTCAGATATAGCCCAACGGCTAACAGTCAGTTACACACCTACAAGGAAGACGGGGAAGTGAAACTGCTGTACCAGGTACGGAATGCCTGGTAAACCAAAGAGCCTACTCTCAGGGAGTAGGGAAGACACAATGGGCCGGCCTAGCTCGGGCTCTGCACACAGCGGGCCCTATGTGGCCTCAGGCTGGCTGCTGTCCTGCCCACGGGCAGCTGGGAGCACAGCAGAGCACAGAGAGCTTCCCGGAGTTGTCCTTCCTGAGGCCGAGTCGCCTGCTGACCATGGTCCCCAGTGCCCAGGCCTCCTGGGGCTCTGGGTCTGAGTCTGGCCATAAGCTGCAAGCCCAGGGGTCAGAATCACAGTACCACACTGCTTCACACATCGTCCTGCTCCCCTCCATCCCCAGGAGGTGGGGCCCTACGTCACCATCCATGGGAGGAGCCTGTGGTGAGCCCTGAAACTACCCTCTGTTACCCTGGCTCTGGGACAGTTCTCTCCCCTCAGGAAGCCACACCCTGCCATCCCTTGTTGCCTCAAGCAGCCCTGGGGCTGAAGATCACTGTCCCAGGCAGGCAGGAGGGACAAAGTGGCTCCAAGACCAGGTGGTGCTGTGCAGGGTGCCCAGGGGCCCCTTCTAGGGCAGCCGGGGACTTGGGTATTTATGGGCCCCTGGAGGAGAGGTTACTGCAGACCTGCACTGTCCCCTCCTGGCTGTAGTCCCATGGGCCTGCCCACTAGTCTGTCCTCCCCACTCCCAAAGTCTCACTCCCTCTCCTCTCTGTCCTGGCCTCTCCCTGGCGAGTCCTCTGACCCAGCCGGATGATACCCATCTTCCCAGGGGCTGAGAAGGGGGAACGTCTTGAGGTGCCATGAAGGGCACACCTGCATGCACTGCCCCTTCCTGCTGTGACCATGCTCCAGAGACCGCGGGGCATATGCCCTGTGCATGTCAGGGGAACATCTGCAGGCTCCTGTCCTAAGCTCAGGGACAGGGGACCCGGGGATGTATGTGATGGTCTGAATGGCGGTGGGGGACAGTTGACAGTATGGGTGGGGAGGGGCACTCTAGGGATGCCTGGGGTCACCTGTTCAGGGGCCACAGGGAGCAATGCTGAGCCCTGCCAAGTGCCGGGCTGGCAGCGGGGCCTCTGGTGATGGGTGACCCCATACTGCCCACACCCAGGACGACTGTGGGAGCTGAGCGCTATTCCCAAAATGCCCACCAGGTGGCAGTACCTACCAGGAGGAGGGGCTTGGGTAGGCGGAAGTCACAGAAAAGCCCGCAGGACTGCAACCCTCAGGGGTCACAGGATGGACCTGGGGTGTAGTGCTCACAGATGATCACCTGGCCCGAGAGGAGATGATGCCACAGCTTGTTGTTGGCTCCTGCTTTTCACGGTTCAGCCCTCCCTGGCGCAGTTGCCAAGCTCAGACCCCCATGACATGAGCAGTGTCCTGGACATGCGCTTCTGGACCCTGCAGATGCTGTACAATGGCCCCAGGCTGGAGGTGGGCCCTTTGGGGGTCCTTTCCTGCATTATTCTGTCTTGTGGACCCCGAAGCAGCAGGTGTCAGCAGGCCTTGAGCCTGAGCCAATGAATATCCAGTGCTGTGTCCTCTCAAGGAGCCAAAGTCCAGAGAGGGCCCTGGGTAAGGCCAACCTGGTGTCATGTTGTAGCTGCAGAAATTGCAAGGTGGCCTGTTGGCACTCCCTACGCCCACCCTCGACCTGCAGCCTGGGCACTGCCTAGGCTGTCAGGCGGGCCTGGCTTTTCCCCCCACCACACACTCACCTGCAAGGCGGTCTAACTTCTGGAAGGTTCCAGAGCAACCTCCTCCCACCTCCTCCTGCCGAAGCTCAGGACCCTGAGCAGAAGACGTGGGCACTGGGGGACTCATCTGCAGACTTGTGCTGCATGGGCACCTTGCCCAACTCTGAGGGGCTGGGTGGGGTGCTGGCTCCTGCTGTGTGGTACTCTTCTGCACACCACATTGCTGGACTGGGCGGAGATGGGGGAGCAGCCCCCTTTCTTCTCTGTAACCCTGGGCTACCTTCGCCCCTTCCCCCTGGCGTTGTGGTTTAGATCTGGAATATCCCTGAACAAGTCTCCTGGGCTAGGGGCTGGGGATTTAGCTCAGTGGCATAAGCGCCTGCCTTGCAAGCAGGCAGTCGTGAGTTCGATCCCTGGTACCGATAAAAAGAAAAAAGACAAAAAAAAAAAAAAAAAAAGTCTCCTGGGCTGAGAGGTAGGCTTCTAGGAAGTGAATGGATTATGGAGGCACTGTGATCCAGGACGTGCTCATAGCTGCCGGTGCTGTCAGGAGGAGAGGCCTGGTCAGACAGGGTCCCTGGGAGCTGACCCGGGAGGGTGCGCTCCTGTTTTAACTCCTCCCTTCTCTCTTTGCTTCCCACCTGCCATCCCCTCAGCCACAGTGGTCTTCCTGGAAGCCAGGCCACCATGGATGGACCCTCTAAAACAGTGAGCTAAAATAAACTTCTTGTTAAGTTGCAGTCCAGCAATGGGAAAGTGAATGGTACTCCTGTGGAGCCACTCTGCCTGGGGCCCTCTTACCTGCCCTCCCTGGTTGGCTCCCTCCAAGAAACTCATCCTCTGGGGACAGTCCTCCTGCCCCAGGCCACTGGATCTGAGCTGGTTATGGTGGGAGCAGGTTGGGTTGCAATTTGGGGCTGTCTTACTCTGCAGCGGTGTTACTCAGACCGCTTTCCCTGCCTGGCTCTGCCCTGAGTGGTCTCCCACGCTGCAGAGGCCCCACATCTACCCGAAGATGCTTTAGCTCATGCCTGGGAGTGAGCTCTGACACAAACCTCCCAGCAAGCCAGACAGCTGCAGCTGGGACTCCCTCTCTGACATTCAGAGTGTTATTTTTTATGCGCAAGGTAGGTTTGACATTTGCATTGGAATGAATCTGTGCTAGTTTCCTCCCTGCTGCTGGCATGGGAACTGGATCCTCCTGGCTGCTCGGGCAGGACGGTTGCCCCGTGTCCTTCCTCACAAGCAGGGCTGAGGTGCCACTGCCTGGCACGTGGAGTCTCTGCCACCACCGGTTTCTGCCTTTACTTTGACGCAGAGGACGCTGTGCCTGGGACGTGGCTCCTTCCTGCCTGTGACCTTTAAGTTCCCTGATGGCCCAGCCAGGGTCCTTGTCCTCGTTGCTCCCCAACTGCATCCTGTCCCTCTTCAAGAGGAGGCCATGGCCTCAGCTCCTTCGGGTCAGCATTGGCTGGTTCCTGCCTGTTCACCTCATGCCAGCACAGGGTGCCAAGCTGCCCGCAGCACCACACCACAGCATCAAGTGAGCCCCTCAGCTGCCCCGTCCCCCGAGGCCTCTGGGTCCTGCTGTGGCCTGCCCTGTCCTGCCATGGCCCCTCCTGTCCCTTCCAGGTGGCTGCCCAAAACTCTTCCTCCCTTTGCCACCTTGTTTGTCTTGGGGAGGAGGCTGGAGCAAAACTTAAACAAGCTGCCCACAGGCACTGAGGGAGTGGGGTGGAGCCGTCAGCCTGGCTCCTGCAGTGGCTCAGGTTCCTGAAGCCATGGACCAGGATGACAGCGCCACTGGAGTGTGGCAAGTGACAGGCGAGGTCCGCAGAAAGCACGGCACAGCCTCGGCGCCTCTCCCCATGGGTCTCTGCTTCCCTCCTCTGAGAGCCGGCGGCTGAGTGAGGAGGAAAGGAGGTGACACTGCCTAACTCCTGTGGTCATCACCTGACAGCAGTCGCAGCACAGGCCTGCCTG